CAATACAATGGCACTAAATTCATATCTTTCAATAGTTACCCTGAATGTAAATGGGCTAAATGCCCCCAATCAAACGACACAGGGTATCAGATTGGATAAAAAAAAATAAGACCCACTGATATGCTGTCTGCATTTTAGACCCAAAGACACCCCCAGATTGAAAGTGAGGGGGTGGAAAACCATTTACCATGCTAATGGACACCAAAAGAAAGCTGGGGTGGCAATCCTTATATCATAGAAATTAGATTTTAAACCAAAGACTATAAAAAGAGATGAGGAAGGACACTATATCATACTTAAAGGGTCTATCCAACAGGAAGATCTAACAATTGTAAATATCCATGCCCCTAACATGGGAGCAGCCAATTATATAAGCCAATTAATAACAAAATCAAAGAAACACATCGACAACAATACAATAAGAGTAGGGGAGTTTAACACTCCCCTCACTGAAATAGATCATCTAAGCAAAAGATCAACAAGGAAATAAAGACTTTAAATGACACATTGGACCAAATGGACTTCAGAGATATATTCAGAACATTCCATCCCAAAGCAACAGAATACACATTCTCCTCCAGTGCCCATGGAACATTCTCAGAATAGATCACATCCTAGGTCACAAGTCAGGTCTCAACGGGTACCAAAAGATTTGGATTGTTCCCTGCATATTTTCAGACCACAATGCTTTGAAACTAGAACTCAATCACAAGAGGAAAGTCGGAAAGAACTCCAATACATGGAGGCTAAAGAGCATCCAACTAAAGAATGAATGGGTCAACCAGGAAATTAAAGAAGAAATAAAAATATTCATGGAAACCAATGAAAATGAACACACAACTGTTCAAAATCTCTGGGATGCAGCAAAGGCAGTCCTAAGAGGAAAGTATATAGCAATACAAGCCTTTCTCAAGAAACAAGAAAGGTCTCAAATACACAACCTAACCCTACACATAAAGGAGCTGGAGAAAGAACAGCAAATAAAGCCTAAACCCAGCAGGAGAAGAGAAATAATAAAGAACAGAGCAGAAATCAAAAGAAGAGTAGAACAGTAGACAAAAGAAACTAGGAGCTGGTTCTTTGAAAGAATTAATACGATTGATAAACCCCCGGCCAGCCTTATCAAAAAGAAAAGAGAAAGGAACCAAATAGATAAAATCATGAATGAAAGAGGAGAGATCACAGTCAATACCAAAGAAATACAAACAATTATAAGAACATATTATGAGAAACTCTATGCCAGCAAATTAGAATCTGGAAGAAATGGATGCATTCCGAGAGATGTATAAACTATCAAAACTGAACCAGGAAGAAATAGAATACCTGAACAGACCTATAACCAGTAAGGAAATTGAAGCAGTAATCAAAATCTCCCAACAAACAAAAGCCTGGGCCAGATGGGTTCCCAGGGGAATCCTACCAAACATTTAAAGAAGAATAAATACCTATTCTTCTGAAATTGTTCCAAAAAATAGAGATGGAAGGAAAACTTCCAAACTCGTTTTATGAGGCCACCATTACCTTGATCCCAAAACCCGACAAAGACCCCATCAAAAAGGAGAAGTACAGACCAATATCCTTGATGAACATGGATGCAAAAATTCTCACCAAAATACTAGCCAATAAGATGCAATAGTACATTAAAAGGATTATTCACCACGACCAAGTGGAATTTATCCCTGGGCTGCAAGGTTGGTTCAACATCCACAAATCAATCAACGTGATACAATACATTAATGAAAGAAAGAACAAGAACTATATGATCCTCTCAATAGATGCAGAAAAAGCATTTGACAAAGTACAGCATCCTTTCTTGATTAAAACTCTTCAGAGTGTAGGGTAGAGGGTACATAACCTCAATATCATAAAAGCCATCTATGAAAAACCCACAGCGAATATCATTCTTAATGGGGAAAAACTGAGAGCTTTCCCCCTAAGGTCAGGAACATGGCAGGGATGTCCACTATCACCACTGCTATTCAACATAGTACTAGAAGGCCTAGCCACAGCAATCAGACAACATAAAGAAATAAAAGGTATCCAAATTGGCAAAGAAGAAGTCAAACTCTCACTCTTTGCAGATGATATGATACTTTATGTGGAAAACCCCAAAGACTCCACCCCAAAACTGCTAGAACTCATACAGGAATTCAGTAAAGTGGCAGGATATAAAATCAATGAACAGAAATCAGTGGCATTCCTATACACCAACAACAAGACAGAAGAAAGAGAAATTAAGGAGTTGATCCCATTCACAATTGCACCCAAAACCTTAAGATACCTAGGAATAAATCTAACCAAAGAGGCAAAGGATCTGTACTCAGAAAACTATAAAATACTCATGAAAGAAATTGAGGAAGACACAAAGAAGTGGAAAAACGTTCCATGCTCATGGATTGGAAGAACAAATATTGTGAAGATGTCAATGCTACCTAGAGCAATCTACACATTTAATGCAATCCCTATCAAAATACCATCCACTTCTTTTCAAAGAAATGGAACAAATAATCCTAAAATTTGTATGGAACCAGAAAAGACCCCGGATAGCCAGAGGAGTGTTGAAAAAGAAAAGCAAAGCAGGCGGCATCACAATTCCAGACTTCAATCTCTATTACAAAGCTGTAATTATCAAGACAGTATGGTACTGGCACAAAAACAGACACATAGATCAATGTGGAGAATAGAGAACCCAAGAATGGACCTTCAACTCTATGGTCAACTAATCTTCGACAAAGCAGGAAAGAATGTCCAATGGAAAAAAGACAGTCTCTTCAACAAATGGTGTTGGGAAAATTGGACAGCCACATGCAGAAGAATGAAACTGGACCATTTCCTTACACCACACACAAAAATAGACTCCAAATGGTTGAAAGACCTCAATGTGAGACAGGAGTCCATCAAAATCCTAAAGGAGAACACAGGCAGCAACCTCTTTGACCTCAGCCGCAGCAACTTCTTCCTAGAAACATCACCAAAGGCAAGAGAAGGAAGGGCAAAAATGAACTATTGGGACTTCATCAAGATAAAAAGCTTTTGCACAGCAAAAGAAACAGTCAACAAAACCAAAAAACAACCGACAGAACGGAAGAAGATATTTGCAAATGACATATCAGATAAAGGGCTAGTATCCAAAATCTATAAAGAACTTATCAAACTCAACACCCAAAGAACAAATGATCCAATCAAGAAACAGGCAGAAGATATGAACAGACATTTTTCCAAAGAAGACATCCAAATGGCCAACAGACATATGAAAAAGTGCTCAACATCACTCGGCATCAGGGAAATCCAAATCCAAATCTCAATGAGATACCACCTCACACCAGTCAGAATGGCTAAAATTAACAAGTCAGGAAATGACAGATGTTGGCGGGGATGCGGAGAAAGGGGAACCCTCCTACACTGTTGGTGGGAATGCAAGCTGGTGCAGCCACTCTGGAAAACAGTATGGAGGTTCCTCAAAAAGTTGAAAATAGAGCTACCATACGATCCAGCAATTGCACTACTGGGTATTTACCCCAAAGATAAAAATGTAGGGATCCAAAGGGGTACATGAACCCCAATGTTTATAGCAGCAATGTCCACAATAGCCAAACTATGGAAAAAGCCAAGATGTCCATCGACAGATGAATGGATAAAGAAGATGTGGTATATATATATACAATGGAATATTATGCAGCCATCAAAAGGAATGAGATCTTGCCATTTGCAACGACGTGGATGGAACTGGAGGGTGTTATGGTGAGCGAAATAAGTCAATCAGAGAAAGACATGTATCATATGACCTCACTGATATGAGGAATTCTTAATCTCAGGAAACAAACTGAGGGTTGCTAGAGTGGGGGGTGGTGGGAGGGATGGGGTGGCTGGGTGATAGACACTGGGGAGGGTATGTGCTATGGTGAGCGCTGTGAATTGTGTAAGACTGTTGAATCACAGACCCGTACCTCTGAAACAAATCATACATTATATGTTAAAAAAAGAAGAAGATAGTAGGGAGGGAAAAATGAAGGGGGGGAATCGGAGGGGGAGACGAACCATGCGAGACTATGGACTCTGAGAAACAAACTGAGGGTTCTAGAGGGGAGGCAGGTGGGGGGATGGGTTAGCCTGGTAATGGGTATTCAAGAGGGCACATATTGAATGGAGCACTGGGTGTTATATGCAAACAATGAATCATGGAACACTACATCAAAAACTAATGATGTAATGTATGGTGATTAACATAACATAATAAAATAAAGCATGAGTAGCTGTGCATTTTAGTAATAAGTATAATAAAACGTTATTATTTTTTTGTGGTCCTAAGACTACACAGCATTGAGGAAAAACAATATGAATAATATGTGATTTTGTTTTGCTTGTGTAGAAGGATCAGTACAGTTGATCCTTGAACAATACAGGTTTGAACTGTGCGGGTCCACTTATACATGGATTTTTTTTTTTTTTTAAGATTTTATTTATTCACTTGACAGAGAGAGACACAGCGAGGGAGGGAACACAAGCAGGGGGAGTGGGAGTTGGAGAAGCAGGCCTTCCGCGGAGCAGGGAGTCTGATGCGGGGCTCGATCCCATGACCCTGAGATCATGACCTGAGCCAAAGGCAGACGCTTAACGACTGAGCCACCCAGGCGCCCCTGTACATTGATTTTTTTTTATAAATACAGTACAGTCGTATAAATGTGTTTTCTCTTCCTTATGATTTTCTTACTAGCATTTTCTTTTCTCTAGCTTACTTTATTGTAAAAATACAATATATAGTACACATAATATACAAAATATGTGTTAATCAACTGTTTTTGTCATTGGTAAGGCTTCTGGTCAACAGTAGGCTATTAGTAGTTAAGTGTTAGGGGAGTCAAAAGTTAAATGCGGATTTCTGATTATGCAGAGGGTCGGTCCCCCTAAACCCCATGTTGGTCAAGGGTCAATTGTATGAGCAAAAGTATATCAAATGTATATGTGATTTGCTTTTTCTTTCTTTTCTTTTTTTTTAACAGTTTAACATAGACAAAGAGGCTGGGGAAAGGCAGATTTACCACCGGTATTGCATGGAGCGGGCCTCTGTCCATTGTGCTCATGTGTTCACCACAGTATCCGAAATAACAGCAATAGAAGCAGAACATATGCTGAAGAGGAAGCCTGGTAATTATCATCTCTGCGTTTGCTGTCCATCTTTCATCCTAAATGACATTAGAGTCTAAAACTTTTGTTTGAAACAAAAAAGCATAAAATAATAGAGGAAAAATTGCGTTCACTATTACCACCCAAATCTTTTTTTAAAATTTTTTTATTGTTATGTTAATCACCATACATTACATCATTAGTTTTTGAATAGTGTTCCATGATTCATTGTTTGTGCATAACACCCAGTGCTCCATGCAGAACATGCCCTCTTTAATACCCATCACCAGGCTAACCCATCCTCCCACCCCCATCCTCTCTAGAACACTCAGTTTGTTTTTCAGAGTCCATCCTCTCTCATGGTTCGTCTCCCCCTCTGATTTTCCCCCCTTCATTCTTCCCCTCTTGCTATCTTCTTCTTTTTTTTTTTTTAACATATATTACATTATTTGTTTCAGAGGTACAGATCTGTGATTCAACAGTCTTGCACAATTCACAGCGCTCACCATAGCACATATCCTCCCCAGTGTCTACCACCCAGCCACCCCATCCCTCCCACCTCCCACTCTAGCAACCCTGTTTGTTTCCTGAGATTAAGAATTCCTCATATCAGTGAGGTCATATGATACATGTCTTTCTCTGATTGACTTATTTCGCTCACCATAACACCCTCCAGTTCCATCCACGTCGTTGCAAATGGCAAGATCTCATTCTTTTTGATGGCTGCATAATATTCCATTGTGTATATATACCACGTCTTCTTTATCTATTCATCTGTCGATGGACATCTTGGCTCTTTCCACAGTTTGGCTATTGTGGACATTGCTGCTATAAACATTGGGGTGCACATACCCCTTCGGATCCCTACATTTGTATCTTTGGGGTAAATACCCAGTAGTGCAATTGCTGGATTGTATGGTAGCTCTATTTTCAACTTTTTGAGGAACTTCCATACTGTTTTCCAGAGTACCACCCGAATCTTTACACATATTTTACTTCTCAGTGTCAGTAACTTTGTGGTAACACCAACCCTAAGGTATATCCAGAACATAGTAGTGTTCAATCTGTGCTTGTTGAATAAATGGGCTATGCTAGAAATGAGCCTACGCCCTAGGGTTGTAACAGTGACCTGGTGTATGTAAGCAAGTTAACTTTTCTATTTAAAGGAAATGAAAGTTCAGAAAATATAAGAAATTTGTACGAGACTATCCCAGTCCTACATCTTATGACATTGCCTCATTGGTCCTGTTCAGTAGAAACCTATTGTTTTACTTCTCCCAAGACTTTGAAAGCTTTTCTAGGACCTAACCCCAGACCCATCCAGAGGTTGCAATGCTGAGAGGCCTGTTCATAAAACATGACCCTATCACCTGGCCACAGCTGACTGATCCAGAGGTAGATACCTGGCATAAACCAGCCAGTCAGAATGCTCCCACAAGAGGGAGGCTAAACAGATGAGTCTGTATGGATGCACTCCTTAAGGATAGGTATGTCAGCTTTGCAGCTGTTGGCAGTGTCCATTTTTCTTTTATGTTGCATGGGATGCAAAGAAGGCTAAACTAGGGACGCCTGGGTGGCTCAGTCGGTTAAGTTGCCTCCTCTTGATTTCAGCTCAGGTCATGATCTCAGGGTTGTGAGATCTCCTGATGGGGTTCCCTGCTCAGCGGGGAGTCTGCTTGGAATTCTCTCTCTCCCTCTGCCCCTCCCCTGCTCATGCACACATACACACACACACACACACACACTCTCTCTCTTTCTCTCTCTTAAATAAATAAATAAAATCTTAAAAATTTTTTTAAAAAGAAGGCTAAGCTACAATGAAGTACAATGAAAGATGGAAACAGACTGAGAGAACTGTAGATTCTCCACAGTGGTTTAGACTAATGGTTTAAACTAATTCCTGAAGCCCAGCTAAACCTTTGCCATGAGACACTCTGGCATCCTATGAATAAATTCCTCATTATTATAGGTAAGCCAGTGTTAGTACCTGGTTACCCGGTGTTAGTACTGGGTCTGTTATTTGCTACCAAACAGTCCTAATGAATATATCCTCTTCTTTAATCCCTGCAATCTTGTCTTTAGTTGTCTTTCTTCCAGATACTAGTTGGATGTCTGGAGGAGGTATTTCAAGGTGCTAGGTAGTTAAAAAAAGAGGAAGAATCCAATAAATTTGAATAATGGCAGCATAAAGATCCTATGTTCTTCTTTTGTCTTTCCAAGTATTCCCTAAGGTTCACTTGGATTCTCACTGCCATGCCCCTTACAGAAGTTTACTCCATCAATATGCTATTTCTTTCTTGCATCTTTCTTGTTTCTTGTCTACTGTATCCTTTTCTGTGCTTACAAAAATTCTTTGTTTTTTTCCTATTCTAAAATAAAACTTTCCCTTGAGGCTGCTATCCTATCAAATGTCTACACAATCTTATCCTTCCTCCTGCTGCCAAATATAGCTTCATTTGTGAAACATTGGAAAAATTCCAGAGGAATTAAAGTCATAATAAAGTGGTATTAATATACATTCTTGGCTTCTATATCTTTTTGGATAAGACAGCTGACTGTCATAGTGGATAAAGGTATAGACCTCAGAGCCAGGCTGCCTTAGTTTTATTATTTTATTTTATTTTATTTTATTTTATTTTATTTTTTATTTATTTTAGAGAGAGAGTGCGGAGGCCGGGGTGGGGGGTGGAACAGCAGAGGGAGAGACAGAATCTCAAGCAGACTCTGAGCTGAGCATGGAGCCCGATGCATGCTCGATCTCATGACCCTGAGATCAAGACCTGAGCTGAAATCAAGAGTCCAAAGCTTAGCCAGCTGACCCATCCAGGCCCCCCCCAGGCTGGGTTAGTTTTAAATGCTACCTCTGTTACTTTGTAGTTACTTGATCTTGGGCAAATAACCTCTCTACAGGTCAGTTTCTTCACTTATAAAATGGGGATAGAAACATAAGTTACTTCATATGGTTTTATAAAAATTAAATTAGTATTTATCAAATACACTAGAGTCTAGAACAAAGTAAGTACTATATAATGTCATGGAAAGGGAAATACATTGTAAGGGGGGATTGTCTACTATCCTGATCACACTGTAGGAATTATTCACATGAGGGCTTTCACTAGAAACCTTGGCAACCTAAAATTGACTCTGCTGTGGAGTACAGAATTTGCCGAATTACTTAGGAAAAATTCAGAAGAACTGGCAGTTTGTTATTGTTGTTGTTTTTATGAGAAATGGCCAAGAAGTCTTTGTTGATTTTGTGGAACCATTTCAAAAGATAGCTTGTTAATTATAAAATATCCTTCAAAATGTTGGCATACTTATAATTCTAGCTCAAATCTCCATTGCAAAAATGTCCATTGCCATGTGTTAAATTTTTTTGACATAGCTTTTTTTTTTTAATTTCATTTGTTTTTGCTGCTACTAAATGCAGCAACCCATGTATTCAAGTCACTAGGTAGTTCCCGTCTTGAACCCTGAGGAGTCTCTATCTTGTCACAGACTAATAACTATTCTGGAAGACCAAAATGTCTTCCTGCTTGAGTAAAATCTTCTGGGAATTAGAAATAAAGGACTGCCTTTCCAATTTTCCAAATAGAACATTTCCCAAACGCTTGGCCAATTAAGATGCTAAGAGGTAGTTTCGTGCACAACATGGCTAAAGACACAACATGTGGAGGCAGGCTGCATGGATTCTACTCCTACTGATACTTGTGTTCTCCGACAGATTCCTTAACAACTCTGGGCCTCAGTTTCTGCCTCTGAAAATGCAGATAAGAACACCTACTCCATTGCTTCTTGCAAGGATTAAATGAATTACATCATAAAGTGTTTAGAGCATTCAGAGCAATAGTAAGCCATCAATAAATGAAAACTATAATAATCATTCTTAGTGCTTTTAATGAGATGTTTCATTTTACTAGTTAATGTTATTTTGGTCACACACTCCTAATTTCCTATTTCAAGAATTTATTGTGATGTTTTATGAATTTTCAGTTCTTTGATAGAAACTAGAAATGTTAAGGGACATCTAATTTTATATATTTAAACTATTTAAACACACTATTTTTCTACAATGGTACCCTCTCTCAAAAGAAGATTTTTGTGATGATTTTTTTTTATTGCTTTTCCAGATGTGGTTACTCCAAATGGCTTGAATGTTAAGAAATTTTCAGCGGTACATGAGTTTCAAAATCTACATGCCATGTACAAGGCCAGGATCCAAGATTTTGTTCGAGGTCATTTCTATGGGTATGCTCTTCTTTATTTAAAAAAATAAATAAATAACATGTGTCTTAGGGACCTATGGCATAGAGAAAACAAAATTGTTATAGTAAATGTTTATCTTTCCCAGCCCCCTTTGAACTATTTGTGTATTTTGTTGCTGTTGCCTTATTTCATTTGAAACTGTTTTGTTTTGTTTTAGTCATCTGGACTTTGACCTTGAAAAAACTTTGTTCCTTTTCATTGCTGGGAGATACGAGTTTTCAAACAAAGGAGCTGACATCTTCCTAGAAGCCTTATCCAGGCTAAATTTTCTGCTGAGGGTAAGAACGCTATAGAATGCCATGCAATACTTTTATAAGCGGACTTCCTTCTGTGGGAAGTAAAGAACTTTCTGGCTTCTTAAGAAGTATCCAGCAGATATGTGATTGTGAATACTTAAAATGACAACCTTATTCTGAAAATGGCTCCAGCTTTTCAATTTACATATTGGGATCACCACGTTGTTCACTTGTGTCTCTGTCTATGTTATCTGGTATTTTTTTAAGAGAGCCACAAGCTTATTGTGTTCTGTTTTAAGATGACATTATAACATTCCTTTCCCTGTCCCAAGAGTTAACCAGTTGAAAGATAAATATGAAGAAATCAAGCAAATGGAGAACAAAATTCGCCATTTTTAAAACCGATAAAGACTGAGGGGCACCTGGGTGGCTCAGTCGGTTGAGGTTCTGCCTTCGGCTCAGGTCATGATCCCTGACTCCTGGGATCGAACCCCTCCATCAGGCTCCCTGCTCAGCGGGGAGTCTGCTTCTCTCTCAGCCCCTCACCCCGCTCTCTCCCTCTCTCTCTCTCAAATAAATAAATAAAATCTAAAAAATAAAAAAAAATAATAAAACCAATAAAGACTGTAATGGAAGATGTGGCTTGGTATATGGCACCCATAGGCTTCCTGATATTGAACCTTGCTATTAGACCTAGCTAGCTCATCACATTGCTGTGCTCCCCCAACCAAAGAAGACCTTCAGAGGAGCCTCTACCACACAGCTGGCAACCAAGCAGTTGCTCTCTGTGCAAGGGGAAGACGCACACAAACACTATTCCCCTCCCTACTCGCCAGCCATGTCTCCTCCCCGAGATTAGTAAGAGTCTTGAACTGTGAAACCAGGAGGTGTCCCACCACATGGAAACAAGGAGGGGAAAGGAGGTTCCTGCTTCCATGTGGAATCAGTTTCTGCTCAGGAAGGTGGGACTTAACATAGGTTCCCAATTAAGCCAGCAATAAAATCTGTGCCAATAGAAAAAGCTATACAAAATGGTACTATGGAATAGCTAGTGATTGAAGTTATTGGCTTATATTCTAATCCTATCATGTAAAAGTATAGAATAAATAACAGTAAGCTACGGGAGACCAGTGTAGAATTTCAATCTTACTGAGATACCAAGACAACCTAAACTTTCACTGTTCTCCAGTTAATTTTTTTCCTTGGACATAGATTTATTTTTGCCTTAGAGCAGACATCACACCAAGTATACTAAAAGATTTACTGATACCACTTAATAAGGAAATAATACATTAATAAAAACCCAACTCTGTAAAATAGGACTGAAGACTACATAGATTATTCTTTAATAGGCAGGAATAATCTTATTCCATAATATTTCCTGGTATGTGTCTATTCAACAAGCTTTAAAGATGGACTCAAAGTTATATCAAACATATATCATGTTTAGGGACATTATTAATCAATTTATCTATATATTTATTAAATAGTCACTTTATCTTTAAGTATGAAGAAAAAGCCAATTGCTATTCTAGACATCAAAGATCATTACAATACTTGGAGAAATTAAAAGAAAGCATTCTCTTTCATATAGTACATTTATTCTTTCATAGCACATTGGCTACTCCTGGAGTGAGTTTCCTATTCTATGACTTCTGTAGATTTTTTTAACAGAATGTCAGACCCTTGAGGGGGCTATAAAGTATGCAGTGCCCACATTTAGGATATAGTCATTTCCAGAATGCACGAACATTCATATGTGCACGGTTTTAAGTGAGCTTATGCTTCCATTCTCACAGTGGTTTGGATATGTCATTTCCTTCTGAGATGTGCTAGGGAAGAGGAAAAGAAAACAGAGTCTAGGATCAAAAACACCAGTTTGAATCTCAGCCAATAACCTGTTATAGGATCTCAGACAAAATATTGAAACTCTCATGCCACTCTTTCAATTAGTCAAATGAAGAGAGTGGTATCTATTGTGCACGGTTTTTATGAGGATTGGATTAAATTATGCATTTAAAGTGTCCGGCACAGTGCCTGCCACACCAGAGGGGCTGAGCACATGCTTGTTCCTGTACTTTAGGACTAAAAAACCAAAATGCCGCATTATGGCAAGACATTTAACAGAAAAGTGTAAATCATCTATTTATGCAAATCAATGTGAATACACTAGAAAAAAATAGAATAAAACAAAACTAAATCCCCATAAACTTTCCAATCTGAAATTTTAAAGAGCTAATTTTGGCCTTGTAACATTAGCTCACATTCATGTGACTTTTTTTTAACCCCAGAAAAGCACCGTGATATCACTAGCAATTGCTATGTATTTTAGCTGCTTAAGGAAAATATTTTATGTCTGAATTTTCAAATTGTTAATCAACAGATCTTGACTGAAAGCCAGATTTAAATTAATAGTTCTGAGTTAAGCTTCAGAAAGGTGGGTTTAATTTCTCTGTGAATCATAAATAAGTATTCCTTTTATCTAAAGGTAATTTAAAACATTGTTTTTTTTAAGTTTAAGGTCCATCTGTTGATGTTTTCGTTTATCTTTGGTAGTTAACTTGTGTTTCCTAATCCCTCACTAGATGCATAAAAGTGACGTTACAGTGGTGGTGTTTTTCATCATGCCTGCCAAGACAAATAATTTCAATGTGGAAACGCTGAAAGGCCAGGCAGTGCGGAAACAGCTATGGTAATCTCATGTCTTGTGAATGTTCTCAATAAGTGTCAAGAGATGTTTTTAACATGCATAATTTCTGATATATCTCCTTCAGCTGTTTTTTCTTTAAGATTACTATAGCACAAGGGGTGCTTGGGTGGCTCAGTTGGTTAAGCTTCTGCCTTCAGCTCAGGTCATGATCCTGGGGTTCTGGGATCAACCCTCCACGGTGGGCTCCCTGCTCAGCAGGGAGTCTGCTTCTCCTTCTCCCTCTGACCCTCCCCCCTGTTCCTGCCCTCTCTTTCTCTCTCTCTCTCACAAACGAATAAATAAAAAATCTTTTTTAAAAAAAGATTATGTTAGCACAAATGCTACTGGGTTCTCTTCTCATAGGCTACTATGTCAGATTATGTAGTGCCTATCAAACTGTGTTACTATAAAAACTTTGGAATGAGCCACCATGGAAGGAAAAACCTCTGTGGAAATTTTTAAAGATGGGTTGAATTTATTTTTAATTTTATGGTGAAAATTTAAAAATGAATGCTGGGGCGCCTGGGTGGCTCAGTCGTTGAGCGTCTGCCTTCGGCTTGGGTCGTGATCCCGGGGTCCTGGGATCGAGCCCCGCATCCGGCTCCCTGCTCCACGGGAAGCCTGCTTCTCCCTCTCCCACTCCCCCTGCTTGTGTTCCCTCTCTCGCTCTCTCTCTGCCAAATAAATAAATAAAATCTTTTTAAAAAATTAAATAAAAAATTTTTTAAATTTCACGAAAGTGGTGCCTGGGTGGCTCAGTCGTTAAGCGTCTGCCTTCGGCTCAGGTCATGATCCCAGGGTCCTGGGATCGAGGCCCGCATCGGGCTCCCTGCTCAGCAGGAAGCCTGCTTCTCCCTCTCCCACTCCCCCTGCTTGTGTTCCCTCTCTCGCTGTCTCACTCTCTGTCAAATAAATAAATAAAATCTTTAAAAAAAAAAATGAATGCCAAAGTAAAGAGATTAGTATAATGACCCCCTCCATGCCCATAGCCCAGCTTCAACAATCACCAATGAATTCGCCATCTTGTTACATCTATACTTCCATCCACTGCCCTGCCCTGCCCTGCCCTCCACCCTCACCTGAAAATCATCAAGCAAAAAAATGTTGAGCTCTGTGGGCAGCTCGGGGTGTTCTGCTGCCTCAGCTCTGAAGGTTTGAACTCAAGCTAAATTGGCAACTAGGAAAAACAGTAGAAGAGGTTCCACAAAAGAGACCCGTAATTTCAAAGGATGCACTTGACAAAACATCAGCGTGGCCATGGCAAACAAAGATTTTAAATTGCGACACTGTTTAAATTATAAATCTTTCAATTCATACAGGGACATTGCACATTCTGTGAAGGAAAAATTTGGGAAGAAACTCTATGATGCATTGTTAAGGTAGGTGCTGGGAGTACATAACACTTCAACATTTTAGGGTTTCACTATTCGAATTCAACAACTTATACATTATCATGTATTTCTTTTGTTCCAAATATAAAGGAATTAGTAGCCTTTGAATTATATTATACTCATCATTATTAGTAGTAGTAATATTATATCATGGGAATGGGTTTTGTTTTATCCTTCATCTGATGAATACTTATAAATAGGTTGTACAAATGAGAACATATTCCCATATGCAAATAGGCTCTAATTCAATGGGACTCTCATTAAGAGTTAATATATCAATGTGAAACTGAGGGAGATTTCGTGAGATTTTTAAGTCAAAATATATATTAACTTTATATATTAAATACATATATTTACTTATATATTAAATTAAAATATTTATTAACATTAAGTAATGTTAAGTAACCTATATTTACTTAATGAATAATAAACATTTAAATACATAATAAAATAAATGAAATATATAAATTTATAAAATAAAAATCTAAATAATTAAATCAAATCAAAATATATTATAAAAGAATAAAAATATATATTAAATATATGAATTTTGTTAGAATATGAAGAGAAAGCTGTGTTGTCTCCTGACTGATGGTGGCAGGCATGCATCATTTCCTTTAACCAGTAAAAATATCAACTTATAGATGGACAGTTATGGCCACTTGTGAACGTAGTACTCAAGAGTAGGCAAAATATAATGGAAGTATCCTTCTGATGGTCAACAGTAATGCTTTAGAAATGAATTTTAACTTTCTTTTATGCTATCAAAATTGTTCTTTTATCAAACTTCTTCATGCTCTAGGAATTTGTCTATGAGTGTCATCAGGAAACCATGTTTGCTTTATATTTATTTTTAAAGTGCTTAGAACACTGTCTGACACCTAGGAAGCATTGAATCAGTGCCTGTTATTTTTATTTTTCTTATTAACATTGTTTTGCCCACAGAGGAGAAATTCCTGACATGGACAATATTTTGGATCGAGATGATGTAACAATTATGAAAAGAGCCATCTTTTCAACCCAGGTAATAAAGACAAGAGTGCCCAACACTTCCCAAGATTGTTAAAATCAATTTAGACCAATATTTTAATTTATTGGAATGGGCTAGTTTGGGAAATGTGTGAACCCAAAAGCTAGAAAAGTCTTTCTTATGCATTCACCTAAATGACAACTTGGCTTATTTTCTTTTTAGTGCTTTTCAGGGCTCCTTAAAAAAATTTCATGAAACTTATCTTGTAGCCACTTAAAAAATTCCTTTGGAACCAATATATCCATTTGAAAAACTCTGTATATTGCAATGACAACAAAATAGTCCCTAAAATTTTCGAAAAGCGTAGCATTTTGAGTCACGATCAAGAAAAGGTGAATGTTTCCCAGTTGAGTGGACTTACTGAAAAAAGGGAAGATAGGCATGCACCGACATCTTGTCATAACAGTGAGGCATCAGGCACCATCAGAGGACAGCTCTGCTAGAAGGATCCAGGAGAAGAGCTCATCTTAAGTCACAATTTCAGGACACCTTCATTCCAAATAGGTCCTAAGAGCAATCAAGAAGTCTAGGCCTTTCACGTAGTGGCTGCAGGTGAGAAACAAAAATATCATGTGTTCATAATATCCGAAGGAAGTTCTTCAAGCCATTATCCCTCTGAAACCCACACAAAACTTAGTCATCATCATTAGTGTCATCCAAAAGATGGAAGGCATGAAGGTTGGATGACATGTTGCCAATGACCTATTGTTGAAATTAGTCACACTTATTAATTCTTTCCACAATTGACATTTTCTTTCCTCTATGACTTCAGCGACAGTCTTTGCCTCCAGTGACCACTCACAATATGATTGATGACTCCACTGATCCCATCCTCAGCACCATTAGACGGATCGGACTTTTCAACAGCCGCACAGACAGAGTCAAGGTAGAATTAATTGTTTACACAAGGCACTTCAAAATGACATAGAATATACTTTTTCAGAATTTATTAGAAGTCTCCTGTATTTGTTTTGACGTGTTTCAGAACTATGTCAAATGATATTTCTAAAAAAAATTAATTCTGTTTGCTGTCTTGGGTAATTAAAATATAATGTCTGTTTTAGTATCATTCTTAACGTTGTACAATATTATCAGTAAGAATAGGGAAATTGCCTAATTTTTATGATACAAATGTATTCTAAGAATTACTTTAATTAGTGAATCTCTGAGATGAAAATGAATTGTCTTTGTTTCTTCCTGATAAAGTTCAACTTTAAGGGGATAATATGAGAAGCTTCCAGTTTCAGAGAATATGGCTAATGATATTTTTATGGAATTTTCTATAGACCAACTCATTCTTTTGATGCTTGAGTTTCTAAATGATTAAGTACAGTGTGAGTTTTTTAAATTAAGACCTGGTTTCTGCCACTGTGGAGCTTAGTCTCTCTGATGTGTACTGAGGGAGTACTATGTTCAGGCACAGTGCTAAGTGTGGGACACAATGTTGAACATGTAGACAGTTGCTTATCTCTACTCAATCCCATTCACCAATATTCAAGATCAGGTTGTCACAAGCTTTTACCAATCTTTTCAAAGGTCCCACTTTTTCTTCTTTTTTTCACCTTTAGCAGATGACTTGAGAATTCAATGTATAAACTCCTTCAGTGCCTCTCAAATATAGATTTTGACCTATTTTTACCTATTTACCTTTGGGTTCTGGGGATTGCTGTTGATCTCATTCCCTCCAACATTCTTGGGAAATTTACCCTGTTAACCCTCCCTTATACTGCAGGTTTACTAGCTCCTTCCCTTGCTGTCTACGAATATTCCTTAAATTTTCTCGCATTAGAAAGCAAACAAACTTTGCCTTAACCTGGTCTTCTCTTGATGTTTTTAAATGTTTTGGTCTTTTCTATTCTTCTCTGCAAAATCTCTTGGAAAAAAATAGTCTGTTTGTAAATTTATTCCTTATCTTGCATTCACTCCTTGATATAGGCATGAGTGGATGTGGTGGAGGGAGACAAGTTAGGGCCCTCCTGCCACAGGATAGGAGAGAGATGATTAGGGGCCCTTAGAAAGGCCATGCCGTAAGTGCTAGAGAGGACGGAATAATGGAAGAGGTGGTTGTATATAGAAAATATCATACTTCGTAATCAATGGTCATTGGGAGGGAAAAAGAGGGAGAAGGCAAAGATGATAGCCTTCTGGCTTCAGTATTTAGTCAATACTTTCTAAAAACTAAGGAAAGGCTTTATCAGAGTTGGCTTGAGGATTGCATCAAGAATTGAGCTCAGTTTTTGGTAGATCGTTTGAGTTATATGTGAGCTATTCAAGTTAAGATGTTTCATGGGTACTTAGAAAACAGGGCTTCATAAAGTGAGCTATCAGTGGAGGGGCAGCAGGGGATACCTGGGAATGATGACCCTGCCATGCTGCAAGACCAGGCTGAACGAGCAGAGAAAAAGTGTTGACCCAAGTAAACCTCAAGATTTAAGAGATTAGAGGAGGAAAAGTCAGTGCAAGAAAAGAGCAAGAATTAGAAGAGAAAAATATCTCAGAAATCAAGGCAGGAAAAATTTTCATGATAGTAGATAGCAACAGCTCATAGTACAGAATTAACTGATACAAGCTGTTTATAAAATGTTCCATGCAGTGTTATCCCATCCATTTTAAACATGTTCTACACACACACGTGTGAGTGTGTACATAGACACACACATATGTGTGTATATTTCCCTGTGCCATAGAATTATGGGTGACTTTTATTTTCTCATTTGTGTTTTTGCATTTCCAAAATTTTTACCCCTAGCACACATCACATTATAGGCAGGCTACAGATTTTTCCCTGGAAATGCAGGGATGTATCTCCCAAAGGCACACAATTGGATCAGCATGATCGGATCTGCAGGAACTTACCTCACTTCAGAGTGTATCAGCACTAATTTGACTTCATTTTCATGTAGTTTAGACCAGTTCTTCTCATTTTTTTTTTCCTCTTGGAAAGGAAATAGTGACAGAAAGAAAGCCTATTATTTTCCTGTTCTGTTTTACACAACTTTGTCACACTTAGGTTTAAACCTGTGGCTCTTCCTCTGAGGATCTGTCGGGTGCCTGGCACACGATATGTACAATAAATATAGACTGAACAGGGGATGTGGAGCCATGACTGTGGTTCATGCTTCCTTTGCTCTTGGGAAGACTGAGTCTGGAAGGTCCCCTGAAATTGGGAGCTCTGAACAAAGTATGCTTTGCTGATCTGTGTGTGTGTGTGTATATGTGCGTGTGTGTGTTTTAATATGATAACAGTGAAGCCATTTCTCAGGAAAGGACAAGTACATTATTTCCTAAGTATGTTAAACTTCATCCCTCTGTGTCTTTGCTGTTGTTATTCTTTCTGAAGTGCCCCTATCTCAGCCATTCTAACAGCTTCTTTGGGATCCAACCTAGAAGTCATCTCTTCCTTGTGTTTGTCCAACATGCATTCATCTACTCCAGACAGGGCAATCACTTTCTTATCTGCATTCTCAAGGTGCTTTATATCTGCTACAAATATAGGAATCATCACACTGAGTTATTTGTATGTTTAAAATATGTATGTCCATTCCTCCAGTGAGACTGTGAGTTCTTCGAGGCAGCGATCATGTCTCATATAAATTTTCTCACTTTCCATTCTCTGAGAAGCAGACACCAAGACAGGATTAGATGTGAAAACACTTATTGGTGAAAATACCTGTGCAGGATAGAGATTGAAAGTGAAAGCAGGCAGGGAGGGGTAGTCCGACACGGTGGAAAGAGGGGGAAGGAAGGATGAGGAGGGAAGACCCACAGACTGCAGGCCAGTTCTAAACACTTCTCAACCTTTTTTTTTTTTTTTACAGTAAGTCAAATGTTATTAACAAAAACTAGAATTAATAAAAATTAGCAAATGCATGAAAAATATACACACCTAGCAGCACAATGTAGTGACTCATAAAGGGAAAAAGCAGACCACTAACATGGGTGGTCAGCTAGGGGAAAGAAACACACACACACAGAAGCACGTGCACTTCTGTGTGTGCCAAAAAATTTAGTTTTCAACAGTACAATCAATCTATAGCTAACAACGATTCTGAATTATTTTCCAGTGCTTCCTTTCTTAATACAAAAGATGCCTCTGTGTATGTGGGGAGGGGTGATGAATTGTGGTTTACTGTGATTTATTTTAAATATATTAGCATTACCACACACATCATTTCCCTATATCTAAACCTTCCCTTTATATTTTACTTTCATGTGATTTGTTCACCTACCAAACAGTTTCATGTTTGTAGGCAGACGGGTGCCTTATTCGATGAGCAATTGCATGCGACAATTTTCATAGGGATTCCTATTAGTTGGAGTAGGGATTTTCCAAACAAAAGTTGCCCATTAAAAGAGTCACTGGTTGTGCAGAAATGAGTTGGCACTGGTACCCATCTCTGCCAGGTCTATAGGCTAGAGCAGCTGCTGTAGTTGCTCCAGAGGGGAAGTGGTTGGGGCTGTCAACCGGGATCCCTTATCTGCCTTTAAATCTCTGCCACTTACTCGATTTGCAAATTTACTTAATCTACCTCAGTCTTCTCATCTGTAAAATGGTGGCAAAATAGGCGCACACTCACAGAATTGTTGTGAGGCTTAAATAAGTAATAGATGCTCCAGTTAGTGCAGTATGTGGCACGTGGCAAGTGCGTGATAAATGTCAGCTCTTATCTGTACTTAGCCGGGTCCGTAGCAGATGATAGGTGCTCAGTAACTTTTAAAAGAGAGGTGTAAACAGAGTTTGATGAGAGTAGAAAATGGAGGATTTATCTCTGCCTGGAGAATTTGATAATGTTTTATAAAAGGATGACATGTTAGCTAGATCTGGACTGACGAGCAGGAGTTTATCATGCAGACAACAGTTCATCATACAGAGAGCCGGCAGAAGTAGATAAAAAGGCACAGAGATATAAAAGCACATAGCTTCTGTAGAGTGAATGGAGAAGGAAGTTTGTCTCATACAAATTATGTTTATATAGATAAACTCATGAACAGTTTGAGACTTTCATTGGTTATTATCATAAAGCAAACACACACACAAGAAGTAAAAGAATAGCCCCTTCATAGCAATATACTCTCAAAGCACTGAGATAAATTTTGGTCAACTCATAATGAGGTATTTTATTTATAAATAGTATCCTTTAAAAGCTTAACACTGACTCAGGCCCTGTGCTAATGTGAGTACTCATTTGATCACCTGCATATTTACAGAACTCTATACAGTGGTTCTTAACTCTCGGACAAGCGCTTTATATGAATGCAACCACTTGATTCAGGAAATGTTGCAGATTATTTTGAATTTGAATTTATCATCAGTTCTGCCTCGGCAGTGGGTGCAGTGAGAAAAACCTACAGTGCAGACTCCAGGTCTTGACCCTGTGCCAGTACTCTGTGAAAGTAAATTAACTGCCTGGGATCTTAATTCCCTCACAGGATAAATGTGGTTAGACGACTTTTTGGTTTTTATTTGTTTTTTCCCTACTGATCCAGCGCCTGCTGTGAGCCAGGTGCTTTGCTGGGGGCTTTTGTATACAGGATCTCATTTAATCCTCCCGGTAACCTTGAGCTGACCTCTAACATCCCTTCCTCCGCCCCAGGCCTCCATCATTGGCTGTTCAGGGCCCAGAGCAGCTGCGTTAGTATTTAGTTATGCTGTCATTCTGTTTGGCTGGAAACAAAAGAAATGAGCCATGATATTTTCATGTTCCAAAATGGGCTTTGGAGAGTACAGATTTTCCCAGGCTCGGAAATGCCAAAGTAGGACAATGAGTTTTGAATCCCTGTTTGCTGATATTTGCCAGGAGTACAGTGGTCTGCTGATTTGATGATTGTCTGGACACAGGATCTGCGTCTGTCTCTTTTCCTTGTGCAGGACTTTGCACATGATAAAGACTCAAATCATGTTCTGTGGAGGAAAATGTTTTATCTATTTTTATTTTGGGCTTTGTGATTGTGATTGAATGAACTATCATTTTTAGGTATTACTTTTGGATATTTTACCATTCTATTGCTTAAGTTTAACCTAGGTCCTATTTGTAGATCTCCTGACATGGAACTAATGTATATAATTTATTTATAATATTTATAATTTTTCTTTTTTTTTAAAGATTTTATTTATTTCTTTGAGAGAGAGAGTGAGAGAGAGAGAGAGCACAAGAGGGGGGAGCGGGAGAGGGAGAAGCAGACTCCCCGCTGAGCAGGTAGCCCGATGCGGGACTCGATCCTGGGACTCCAGGATCATGACCTGAGCCAAAGGCAGTCGCTTAACCAACTGAGCCACCCAGGCGCCCTATAATTTATTTCTAAAATTAGAGTAATGAGAATGTCATGATGTTGCTAGGATTAAATGAAATAATATATGAGAACAGTATTTATAATACATAAAGTATGATACAACTGTTATCATTGTTGTTATATATCCAAATTAGGGTTTTTCTTCAAAGTAATCTCTTTGGAAAGATATACACTTATTCTTTTATTATATATGTTATATTATGTTTATATACATATAAATAATATATATTTATATGTATATTATATGGCATATACTATATAATATATAATAATGTGTTATATATTATGGCATATAATACATAATATATACAGTATAAATATATACTATATATCATATATTATGTATGTTATATATGTATGTATATGATGTATATTATTTATATGTGTACAATATAAATACTATATAGTATATACTATATATCTATACATACATATATATAATCCAAATGCTTTTAAATCAGATTTTATTTATATTTAATAACTACTTAACTATGGGGGAGAGGCTGACAAATTACCTAATAATGGTTCAAGAAAAACTTCAATAAATAGGAGAAATTGGAGAATTCTTCCATCCGGGTGACCACTTAAGTAGCTGTTCTAATCACACCTTCCCAATGATAGCCATTCTCTCTCTCTCGTCTCTGCCTTCACATAACATTACCAGCAGTGTAGTCCCAGTACCAGCTCATACCAGTGCACGAGAACCAATTGCTAAATTCTCAGAAGTTTTAAAAATAGCTATTTTTTAAAAATTAAATTATATCAACTTAAAATATAAATCAGTTATATTAAAATGAAAGGTAATGCTGAAACTCATCACATCCTAATCGTTTACTACATTTTACGATGATCTATGCACTTGACGCTATTTATGGCTATTGTACCCATCGATGGTGGAAATATTCTATAATGGTGTGCTACTGCCTTTCCCATCTCCAGTTCAGTGACATCACATTGGTAGCTTGAAACCGACCATAGCGGGAGTATCTAGAGAGTGAAAATAGGTGAACACTACGCGTCATGGCTTGATTAATTGTGTATCGATTGTCTAGACTTAAGAAGGTGGTAGAGAAATATGAACAATACAGATTAAACTTAGAAGGGTTGTGTCTAGAGTCATTACACAAAATTGTGAGTGGCATAAAAATATGAGGAAATATTTTTTCCATGTTCAAAAGCTAATATCCAACTCAGGAAAGAAGTCACTTACGTCACTGATGAACCTTTGAAGTTCTGATGTATATCTCTGAATGGATCAACATTTACATCATAACTACATTCAGTCCTCAGTTGAAACCATAAGTTGGTTCTGAATACAGGATTTTAGCAAAAGTCAACAAAAGCATGTGGGTGTATTTAACCGCCTAGAATTTATAATAAGGAGGGTATTACACATATTTTATTAGACTTCATTCTTTAGAGAAGTTTTAGGTTCATAGCAAAGTTGAGCAGAAAGTACAGAGAGTTCCCACATACCCCTGCCCGCACTGCCTCCCCCACTGTCCACATATCACACCAGGATCTTATATTTGTTACAATTGATGAACCTACATTGATACATTATTATCCACCAAGATTCAGTTTACATGAAGTTATGCTCTTGGTGCTTTACCTTCTGTGACTTTTGATGAATGTATAATGACATGTATCCATCATTACAAAATCATACAGAATAATTTCACTGCCCTAATATTCTTTTGTACTCTGCTTAGTCAACCCTGCCCTCATCCAAGCACTGATCTTTTTTCTGGCTTCATAGTTCTGCCTTTTCCAGAATATCATATAGTTGGAATCATATAGTGTGTGGCCTTTCAGATTGGCTTTTTTCACTTAGTAATGTACATTTAATTTTTTTTCCATGTCTTTTCATGGCTTGATAGCTCATTTCTCCTTAGCACTGAATAATATTCCATTGTCTGGACAGTTTATTTATTTATTCATCTATTAAAGGTTATCTTGATTGCTCCCCAGTTTTATCAATTATGAATAAAGCTGATACAAACATCTGTGTGCAGGTTTTTGTGTGTACATTTTTTATTATTTGGAAATTGTATGCTATACATTCTTTATATCAATAAAATGTATAGTAAACTTATGTACAAATATATACTTATATTTTGGTTTTTCATTCTTAAACATGTACCAGAACACCACTGCCATCATAAATACTTTGGCTTTTATTCTGAGTGAAATGGGAAGCCAGTGAAGGATTTTGAGCACGGGAGTACCTGGCACTTTTAAATCTTCACTCTAGTTGTACTGAGTAGAGACCTTGCAGAATAGAAGCAGGGATCTAGGTTAGGAGGTGATTACCTCCAGGTAAGAGAGGATAGTAACTTGGATGAAGGTTTCTAGTCTGATCTAATCTAGATGAGATTCCTTGTACATCTCTAGAATCTAGAACACAAGGCTTCTACAGTATCAAAATACCGAAATGTAGGAGATTTTTGCTTTAATTTCTTTTTTTTCTCATTAGAATTTTCCTTTTTTAGGTAATTTTGCACCCAGAGTTTCTATCCTCCACCAGCCCCTTATTACCCATGGATTATGAAGAGTTTGTCCGAGGTTGTCATCTTGGAGTATTTCCATCATACTATGAACCGTGGGGTTATACTCCAGGTATGTGGCATGTATAGATTGTGGAATGTTTTAAATTTTATTAATCTATTATTTTATGCACATGGATATAATATTCAAAGCTGATATGTAATTTCTACTAAGGTTAAATTATAATAATATACTGTATTACAAAGAAAAAGAAGGTGTTATAAAGATTACGTATTATTGAGTTATCTCTACCAGTCCCAACTATTCATATAAAGGAGAAATTGAGTGCAAGTAGGTTTAAGATGAGAAACAATGGTCCAGCAAAAGTGTTCTCTAAAACATATTTCAGAATTTTTTTAAATTAATGGATGTACTTAATTTTTAATAGGTAACACATTCACATAGTTAAGGAAACAAAGAGTATAAGAAGGTATACAGTGAAAAGTCTTCTTCACACCCTTGTCACTCAAAAAAGAGGTACTTTTAAGATAAAATGTCAGTTCGGTGATAGGTATTATGACCCTGACATCATTCCATTCAGATCCTCCACCTTTTCATCTGCCTTTTTTTTCCCTCCCTGATGGTGGATTCCCAGATGCACTACCTATTTTTCTTTTTTTCCCCTATGAGCATGTTTGTCATTGGTATCAAGAGCTATCAATTTGTATTTGTACTGAAATGCTTAATTAAAAAGGAAACAAATACTTTAAATAAATGCCAATGGAAAGTATATAATACTAACTTTTCCATCTCATATTAGTAATCGGAGATTTTCCTCTTTATTTAAATATAATTCCATTCATAATTTTAAAAGAAAAGGTTCAGAAAACATTTTTATGCATAATTAATAAATTTTGCTTTCTGATCTCAATGTCATCATTGTCCAACCAAGGGGTGGCATCGGTCAAGGTTAGGGAGATCATGGTTGGATTATGAAGAGGAAGAATTTTTCTAATCTTTGTTTTCTGATCCCAGAATTTCAATATAGAATTTTAAATTCTATATAAGTAGTATCTACTGATGAATCACAGACCTGTACCTCTGAAACAAATAATACATTATGTATTAAAAAAAATTCTATATAAGTAGTATCTTTACATAAGGAGCAACATGAAATCTCTGCCTCTTTTGACATAAGGTCCTACTCTATCATTCTAGGTTCCACCAAGAATAATTTGCCAGCAGCTGTAAAAATATTAAAACCTCTGGGGAAAATAGATAAAATATTATCTCCCCTTGAAACGTGACATAGAAAAGCTATTGATCTAACTCTTCCAGCTATCTCTTTTGTAGTTCTAAAAATTGTTATGGGTATCAGTTGTCACTTTTATAAAGATGGTGTCTTCTTACTTATGAAATACCCACATATTATCTGAAATTGTTTATAATTGAGTATCTATCTTTTAAGATACATAAAATGCATATTTCACTGATGAACTTAACATTTTGTTATTGACTTTTGTTGCTATTATTTCTAGTAAGTAACATAATTTATTATCAAGGAAGTTTCAAAAATAGAGAAGCACAAAACCAAAGTCTGAGTGAACTGAGGGATGTGGGAAATCCTTTACATTGGGTAAAGAGAATGTTCTATAACTTACAGCAGACTTTCCACCAAACATCATTTTATAGGACAAAGATAAACTTAACCCAAAATGATAGAGGAGATACATCTAGTATTTTAAGATAAAGATCAGCAAAACTATTATAAAAGATAAGTAGATGGAAAAAGAAGTTTGAGAATGAGTCATTCTCTGTTTTGAACTAACCAAAGGAAATTGGTCACTCCTCACCTAACCTGTAGTTACAAAAATAACAAGACCCCTAGTGGTTTAAGTTTGGTGTTGGCATATTAGATAATTCTGATTTTTTAAAAATAACTCTTTATTTGATACTAGGTTTAACACACTCCAGAAAATATTCATTTAAGGCTGTGTTTCGAGAAAATCCAATGATTATAAGTGCTTATTCCATTAAATTCATTCAATGAAAATTTGCAGAGATTATGGGTACCTAGCACTTCATTACATGTATTTTAATGAGTATTTAATAAAAATAAGGTTCTGTGAACTTCCATGGAATTGTAGGCAAAATTCTTTATACATATATGAGTAAGAATTTTTCTGGGGATGAGTTCCAGGTTTTCATTAGATTCTCATATGGGTCAAGAATCCCTGTCCCATTTTCTCCTCCACCACTCCCTCTAAAAATTAGGAAACCACATCTCTCTTGAGATAAACCACGAGGCAATACTTGCAGAGCAGAAGAAAAGGCCACTGTCTAAACTGCATTACTTCTTTCTTTTTTAAATTTTATTTTATTATGTTAATCACCATACATTACATCATTAGTTTTTGATGTAGTGTTCCATGATCCATTGTTTGCATACAACACCCAGTGCTCCATTCAATACGTACCCCCCCTTATTACCCATCACCAGACCAACCCATCCCCCCAACCCCCTCCCCGCTAGAACCCTCAGTTTGTTTCTCAGAGTCCATAGTCTCTCATGGTTCATCTCTACCTCCGATCTTCCCCCCTTCATTTTTCCCTTCCTACTATCTTATTTTTTTTAACATATAATGTATTATTTGTTTCAGAGGTACAGGTCTGTGATTCATCAGTCTTACACAATTCACAGCGCTCACCATAGCACATACCCTCCCCAATGTCTATCACACAGCCACTCCATCCCTCCCACCCCCCACCACTCCAGCCACCCTCAGTTTGTTTCCTGAGATTAAGAATTCCTCATATCAGTGAGGTCATATGATACATGTCTTTCTCTGATTGACTTATTTCACTCACCGTAACACCCTCCAGTTCCATCCACGTCGTTGCAAATGGCAAGATCTCATTCCTTTTGATGGCTGCATAATATTCCATTGTATATATACACCACATCTTCTTTATCCATTCATCTGTCGATGGATATCTTGGCTCTTTCCATAGTTTGGCTATTGTGGACATTGCTGCTATAAACATTGGGGTGCACATACCCCTTCAGATCACTACATTTGTATCTTTGGAGTAAATACCCAGTAGTGCAATTGCTGGGTCGTATGGTAGCTCTATTTTCACCTTTTTGAGGAACCTCTATACTGTTTTCCGGAGTGGCTGCACCAGCTTGCATTCCTACCAACAGTGTAGGAGGGTTCCCCTTTCTCCGCATCCCTCCAATATCTGTCATTTCCTGACTTGTTAATTTTAGCCATTCTGACTGGTGTGAGGTGGTATCTCATTGAGATTTGGATTTTGATTTCCCTGATGCTGAGCGATGTTGAGCACTTTTTCATGTGTCTGTTAGCCATTTGGATGTCTTCTTTGGAAAAATGTCTGTTCATATCTTCTGCCTGTTTCTTGATTGGATCATTTGTTCTTTGGGTGTTGAGTTTGATAAGTTCTTTATAGATTCTGGATACTTTATCCAATATGTCATTTGCAAATATCTTCTCCCATTCTTTCGGTTGTCTTTTGGTTTTGTTGACTGTTTCCTTTGCTGTGCAAAAGCTTTTTGTCTTGATGAAGTCCCAACAGTTCATTTTTGCCATGCTTCCCTTGCCTTCGGAGATGTTTCTAGAAAGAAGTTGCTGCAGCTGAGGTTGAGAGGTTGCTGCCTGTGTTCTCAAGGATTTTGATGGATTCCTGTCTTACATTTAGGTCTTTCATCCATTTGAGTCTATTTTTGTGTAAGGAAATGGTCCAGTTTCATTCTTCTGCATGTGGCTGTCCAATTTTCCCAACACCACTTTCCCAACACCGTTTGTTGAAGAGACTTTTTTCCATTGGGCATTCTTTCCTGCTTTGTAGAAGATTAGTTGACCATAGAGTTGAGGGTCCATTTCTGGGCTCTCCATTCTGTTCCATTGATCTACGTGTCTGTTTTTGTGCCAGTACCATACTGTCTTGATGATGACAGCTTTGTAATAGAGCTGGAAGTCCGGAATTGTGATGCCGCTAGCTTTGCTTTTCTTTTTCAACATTCCTCTGGCTTTCGGGGTCTTTTCTGGTTCCATACAAATTTTAGGATTATTTGTTCCATTTCTTTGAAAAAAGCGGATGGCATTTTGATAGGGATTGCATTAAATGTGTAGGTTGCTCTAGGTAGCATTGACATCTTCACAATATTTGTTCTTCCAATCCATGAACAAGGAATGTTTTTCCATTTCTTTGTGTCTTCCTCAATTTCTTTCATGAGGATTTTATAGTTTTCTGAGTACAGATTCTTCGCCTCTTTGGTTAGATTTAGTCCTAGGTATTTTATAGCTTTGGGTGCAGTTGTAAATGGGATGGACTCCTTAATTTCTCTTTCTTCTGTCTTGTTGTTGGTGTATAGGAATGCCACTGATTTCTGTGCATTGATTTTATAGCCTGCCATTTTACTGAATTCCTGTAATGAGTTGTAGCAGTTTTGGGGTGGAGTCTTTGGGTTTTCCACATAAAGTATCAAATCATCTGCAAAGAGTGAGAGTTTGACTTCTTCTTTGCCAATTTGGATGCCTTTTATTTCTTTTTGTTGTCTGATTGCTGTGGTTAGGACTTCTAGTACTATGTTGAATAGCAGTGGTGATAGTGGACATCCCTGCCATGTTCCTGACCTTAGGGGGAAAGCTCTCAGTTTTTCCCCATTGAGAATGATATTCGCTGTGGGTTTTTCATAGATGGCTTTTATGACATTGAGGTATGTACCCTCTATCCCTACACTCTGAAGAGTTTTAATCAAGAAAGGATGCTGTACTTTGTTAAATGCTTTTTCTGCATCTATTGAGAGGATCATATGGTTCTTGTTCTTTCTTTTATTAATGTATTGTATCACGTTGATTGATTTGCAGATGTTGAACCAACCTTGCAGCCCAGGGATAAATCCCACTTGGTTGTGGTGAATAATCCTTTTAATGTACTGTTGGATCCTATTAGCTAATATTTTGGTGAGAATTTTTGCATCCATGTTCATCAGGGATATTGGTCTGTAATTCTCTTTTTTAATAGGGTCTTTGTCTGGTTTTGGGATCAAGGTAATGGTGGCCTCATACAATGAGTTTGGAAGTTTTCCTTCCTTTTCTATTTTTTGGAACAGTTTCAGAACAGCTGGAGAAATAAACTGCATTACTTCTTGATTAGTGGGGAAATCTTTATTTTTAACCCACCCCTACTAGCCAACCAAGATTAATTCCATCATCAAATATAAATTCCTTGTTAAAAATGCAGACATTCTTGTGAGCGGTAATACTTCTTAAAAGAAACATATCCACTATTTTATGAAAAAGAGGTTTTGACTGGCGGGGGGGGGGAGAAGATGGGGGAGGGTATGGGTACAATGGGCACTTGGGGAAGTGGAGGGATTTGTGGCAAGGGAGATTAATACGACGGGAGGAGTTGCTCATGTCCCAAACCCACAAACTCACCAGACTTAGAGACACAGCTTAGAATGGAGCAAAAAACAAAACCAGCCAGAATGAGAGAGACAGAGTAGAGTAGCAGTTCCAAACAGGAGCCCTGGAGCCGGGCACCAGGCTTCAAATCCCACCTCTACCCCATTCCCTGCCTTTGTGACATTGGGCAAATTATCTAACTTCTCTGTGCCTCAATTTCTTCATCTGTAAGATGGAGATAATGTCAGTCTTTTTTTAAGATTTTATTTATTTGCGAGAGAGACAATGAGAGACAGAAAGCATGAGAGGGAGGAGGGTCAGAGGGAGAAGCAGACTCCCTACTGAGCAGGGAGCCCGATGCGGGACTCGATCCCGGGACTCCAGGATCACGACCTGAGCCGAAGGCAGTCGCTTAACCAACTGAGCCACCCAGGTGCCCCGATAATGTCAGTCTTACTTCACGTGGTCGTTGAGAAGATTAAATGAGTTAATACATGTAAAGAGCTTAGTACTGTACCTGATACAAAATAAATATCGCTATTACTAGGCCAGCTTGGGCTTTTCCCCCCTCTGTGTGCATAAGAGGATATAGAAGCGGGTCTGAAGCCAAGCCTTTGTCTATTTCCCCTGGCAGCTGAATGCACTGTGATGGGTATCCCCAGTGTGACAACCAACCTTTCTGGCTTTGGCTGTTTCATGCAGGAGCACGTGGCTGATCCTACTGCTTACGGTGAGGTTTTTCATCATTCACCCAATGCAGGGAGAAGTAACCTCTAACCAAACACGGGATCTTTAGGGAGCCTAACTTTAAAGCTATCCTGATGATTAAAGTAATGTTTATACTTCTTGTTTAATTAAAAGTAGATTTAATTATGTGGTTCATAGAAAAGATAAAAATGCTATTAATATTAAATATATTGATGTTATAGTAACTATGGCCTTAGAGTATATAGAGTAGTCAGCGTCATTATTTTAAAAAGTCTGTGCCGTTAGCAAAATTCACTTAAATTGTTGAAGATGGCAGAAGAATTTGCATACCACCATCTCTGTGTCTGTGTTGCCTAGCAGCAAGAAAAGCGAGATGGAATGGATTGTCTGCCTACACATTGCCAATTTCCTGGTCTTCTGTGGTCTCCTCATCACGGTTCTCTTTCCTCAGGCTAGAGCTGTGGTTCTCAGGCAGGACTGCACGGTGGGAACACTGGGGAGCCTAAAAATCACTGATCCCCAGGTCTTACCCCAGAGATTGTGGTTAGTGAGCAGTCCCGGGGAGAGCCACTGATCCAGGGTATCCCTCTACTGCCAAATTTTTTTTAGCAAGATCCATCGTGTTGCATGTGTGTTGGTGACAGTTGTAAACCCTTAGGAGGAGATCACAGAAGAAATACAGCCTTGGAAGGGGAAAGATAAAATGGAGGCAGCAGGGGAGTCAGGGAGTGGGTACTGCGTGTGGTGGTTTGTGATGGAACCTAAGGAATGGGAGAAGAAACATTCTAAGGTTAGCCCTATGTATACCCGTGCTTTGGCTTTTGTGCTCCTCAGGTATTTACATTGTTGACAGGAGATTCCGCTCTCTGGATGATTCTTGCAATCAGCTGACTCAGTTTCTCTATGGATTTTGCAAACAGTCACGCCGCCAAAGAATTATTCAGAGAAACCGAACTGAGAGGCTCTCCGATCTTCTGGATTGGAGATACTTGGGCAGAGTAAGTTAAGTTTGGGATGGAGAGAACCGCTTTAGAAATCCCATTAGACGGGCCCCTGGGTGGCTCAGTTGGTTGGGCATCTGACTGTTGATCTCAGTTCAGGTCTTGATCTTGGGGTCATGAGTTCGAGCCCTGCCTTTCAAGCTGTGCTGAGTGTGGAGGCTACTTTAAAAAAAAGAAGAAAGAAAGAAAATCCCACTGGGATATAAAAATATAGATTCTAGTCATCATCTGCAAAGTCAACCCTGTACCATAATTGTTGAAATCTCAAGCAATGTTTTCATGTACTTTTTTTACTTAAAATGAGCTGGCAAAGCCCTACCCCCAAATTTTCTTTTTTTTTTTTTAAGATTTTATTTATTTATTTGAGAGAGAGAGAATGAGAGACAGAGAGCACGAGAGGGAAGAGGGTAGAGGGAGAAGCAGACCCCCTGCTGAGCAGGGAGCCCGATGTGGGACTCGATCCCGGGACTCCAGGATCATGACCTGAGCCGAAGGCACTTAACCAACTGAGCCACCCAGGCACCCCCTACCCCCAAATTTTCATATTTAGTTTGAGCTTATAACAGCAAGTCTGTCAGGATCTAGCTGGGATCTTTCTAGTTAGTCTATTGTCAGTGCTCAACTTGATGCATTTCAGCTATTGGTTCATGAATATGAGGAAAACATCTAAAGAAACATTTCTATTTTGTTTGACTCTAAGCAATAATGTGACCATATTCCATAAGTACAGTGGGAGTGGGAATAATATTGTTTTCAAATGACAAGTACAGGAAATACCTCCTTTCAACTATGCAATAGGTTTGTAAATACCCAGATGTCTATATATCTTAGTACTGGATGATTTAATAAAAAATCAGCTGACTTTGCCTTCACATCCTGTATCTGCTTAGATGCCACTAAACTCTCCCTGACAAATGATAGATGCTGCCATTTGCCGAGTGGCTACACCTACTAATGACAGTACTCATCACAACCCTGAGTGATTCATTGTACTGTCTCTATTTTACAATGAAAGCAGAATGATAAGGCTCTTAGAAGTTATGTTTCTTTTTTTAAGATTTTATTTATTTATTTATTTGAGAGAGAGAGAGAGAGAACACGAGCAGGGGGAGGGGCAGAGGGAGAAGCGGACTCCGCGCTGAGCAGGGAGCCCGATGATGCGTGGCTTGATCCCAGGACTCCGGGATCATGATCTGAGCTGAAGGCAGATGCTCAACCCACTGAGCTGCTCAGGCGCCCCAGAAGTTATGTTTCTTATCTAAGGTCTCAAGCAGGACTTAGGTCCAGCTTGTCTGATTACTCAGGTACCCCCTTTTCCCCATATCATACTGCTTCTCTGTAGCATGAAGCCAGTGTTTTAGCACATAATTCAGAGTATTCAGTAAGGCCAGTATGGCTTTTCCCTTCTACTTTTTGTAGTATTTCTTTACTGATTAACTGGAAAATAATAAAACTGTAAACCATCAGTTTTTTTTCTGATTCTTAAATTTAGGGTGAATAGGTTCTGCCACTTTACTAGGAGAATAAGATTTTATATAATAACATGGTTCTTGAGATATATAATATTTTTTAAACTGTGAATTGGTTTTTCTATCATAGTATTATCAGCATGCCAGGTACCTGACCTTAAGTAGAGCTTTTCCAGATAAATTCCATATGGAGCCTACATCACCACCAACGGTAAGTATTTTATGTATTATGTATTTATTTTGAAATCTAAATTTCTTGTGTATGGTAAGTCCTACCAATACTTTTTAATTTAGCATTGGTTAAGGATGGAAACTTTTATACTTTTTCATAATGTTGCCTTAAAGCAAGGAATAGAGGAACCGACAAGTCAGACCAAGTCAAAGCCCTTGATTCCGAGTTAGCCTTATTTAGCGGATGAGCCGATGGTCAGCTAATTCATGTCATTGGAGAAGCACTTCCACATTAAAACTCTCCCTGCCTTAGTACTTGAAACCTCTGTGTTAGACACCCATTCTTTCGGGAGCTGCTGAAAAATGAACTGGCCTGCTTTAACAGCAGGTGAATTCGCTATCCAAGGAAATGTTTAAGTATCAGGTAACTACTTGGCAACAGTAACATAGAGTGAATTCAGGAACCACGGGAGGAATTGGACTGGAGGAGTATTTATGTACCAGTCAGCAGTGCCCAGCAGGGAGTCTTCTTCTGAAGCTCTGTTAGACATTTATATTCATGAGATGAGCATAGGCTACTTGCCATCACATTCACTTAGAAGGATATAAGATAGGAAACACAGCTTGAAGTAGGACATCATCAGACATTTCTCTTCAGTGGGATCAGTCCTTACAGCAGTCTACACAGCGGTCCCAAAGCACACCTCTTTGCCCGCCCCTGCCCCCTCCCTCGCCCCCCCCCCACTGCCCACCAGGTGAAAGCTTACGTGCAAAAAGATGAGATCCCTATCATTAGGTATGAGATCTATCCTAGCTTAGTAGTTTCATGCCCCAGGGAGCCAAGATCTCACGTAAATCTCCACAGATCAGCAGCGTCCATGGCCTCCACGAGGAATATGCACAAGTACGAGAGTCATCCAATTCAGGGATTCCCAAAAGCTGTAGATCCTCATCGAGTATTTATAAATCTCTGAGTTCAGATGTGATTTCCCAATCAGGAGTCCCTTTTACCATAATCAATTTTGCACAACTTATGTTCCACCTATATCAAGTGTCAAGGGAAACAGATCTCAAAAGTTAGCCCAAGGTAAAATTTGCTCATGCAGAAGGTGACAGGGTTTTGAAAATCCTTCAGAATACAAATTCCAACTTTCATGCTCAGGATTGTAACAGGATTAATGGCTTAGCTTGTTTAGAGGCAGTCGCTCGACTTGATATTAATTCAGCTATATTCATCCATTTATTCAAATGATTCAATTACTAAGTATTGAACTCCTACTCTGAGCCAGGTCCTAAGTGCATGAATCAGCTCCTTTTTTTTTTTTTAATTTATTTTTTTTTATTGCTTTCAGGCCAAATATCTGAACGTTGAAATGATTGTATGGGTATGACGTGATAATAATGAACACAAGTAATTGAAATAAAGAGGGACAAGTGCTGCAACTATTTTATACAGCTGTCTTCCCCAGTCAAACATGTGCTCTCTTGAAGGGCAAGAATCATGTTTTTCTTCTTTGTTTCCTCAGTGGCATTTTGGTACCTGACCCATAATTGCGCTTATCACTCATTGATCAAATGAGTTATCTCAGTGAATCTTAGGTAGAAGGGCAATTTGATTAAAACCTAGTGACATTTGCTCATGCACTGAAATAAAAGTAACTGGTGGAATTTCAGAGTCAACTAAGTGGCCTGGCTTCCAGGATTCTTTCTAATGGTGGCTGTCCATGGCATGTCCACGATACCCATGTTCTGTAATTTTGTTGAGCAAATCTGCAAAGTGACATAGGGACTGCCAATATGAGCAGTGTAACATGACAGTTGATATTAAAGGCTAGGGAGTGATCACAGCCCTGGTACAAATCTTTGCTCTACCACTTACATACTGCATGACCTTGGGCAAGTCATCTGGTCTCTCTAACCCTCAATTTTCTCCTATAAATGGGAAAAACACATTTATTGGTGTTGTTACAAGGATTAAATAAGATTATATATATTTATACATACATAAATACATATGGCACCTGGCACATTTCAGTGCATAAGAAAAGAAAGCTATTTATTTAACGAATCTCTCTTGAATTTGGTGGTACCAGAATCAAAAGGAATCAAAAATAATAATAGCCCATGAACAGACCACAAAAAATATCCAACTATGTTTTGTATCAAATGCACAGGCAAAGTGTTTATATCATTATAATGTTTGTGACTTATTTTTGTCTTTGGCAGACTGAAGGATTTAAATACCCCAGGCCTTCCTCAGTTCCACCTTCCCCTTCAGGGTCTCAGGTCTCTAGTCCTCAAAGCAGTGATGTGGAAGATGAAGAAGAGGATGAGCGATACAATGAGGAAGAGGAAGCTGAAAGGGATCGGTTAAATATCAAGTCGCCATTTTCTCTGGGCCGTGTTCCTCGTGGGAAGAAAAAGCTGCATGGTGAATACAAGAACTGAATTCCACGCGTGTCGGAACAGAGTAAGAGTGATTATCTAAAGAAATGAACATGCTACAAATTCTATTTTCTTCTTTTACGTGTTACAACGGGATTTATTCTCTGCCTACGAAGGGGAGAAGATTAAGTGAATGACAATTTGGAATTTCTAATAAAATCCAAGTTATTTTCCCCTACTCCTTTTCCCCAGTAAATTTAGGCAAGAGGAAGAATGTCCATTAAAGGAGGAAGACCAGAAATGTTTTTAAAATGTTAGCTTAAGCAATAAGAATTTTCATTTGCTAGTGTTTATTTTTAAATTATCATCACCATAATCCTGTGCTTAGTATTTATACAGCTGCTATATCTACCAAACAAGCCTCCCATTTTCCCTGTGAAGGATCCTGATCTGAGCCCTGAACGTGCACTATGTACATATTTTAAATAATTCTGTCTTCAGTGATTATGTTCATGTTTCACATGATTCAGAACCATGAATTTCTATCTAGCTTTGCCCACAATCAAAATCCATAAGAAAAAAAAAAGCTACCTTAAATCCAGATCCTGATACATATTAATGCATATTTACAAGGTCACTTCTCAACTTAATGATGGGAAAATGTTACCATCTGCGCTATACCATCTGACTGTAACAAAGTACAAACAAAAGAGCAAATGGAAATTCACAGACGTGCAAACACCTGGTTTTGAGTGGCATATTTCTACCCTGCACTCGCTCCTCCATTCAGACAGCTGCTGCCACTGGACTCTATCCCCTTGCTCCAGTCCTTTCTTCGTCCTTCCCCAAGACTGACAAAGCCCGGTGAGGAGCAACAGATAAGGATCGTTAGTAGATGACTCTGTTTCTAGCACATTGCCTTATACACAGTAGCGGCACAAATGAGTGGTCTCATTGGGAGAAATAGAGGTACAAAAAAATGATGTTTTTAAAGAATGTAGGTTTGCATAAGTTGGAGTATAGGAACTATAGAAAATAGTTAATGTGTGCCTGACCAGCCGACAGAAGACTTTTATGCATTGTCCCACCCTGCCTTCCATGTTAAGAGTTAGGGTGAACAGAGCTGGTTTTACATATACTGATGAGAAGATAAAATGTTACAAGGGCTCTGCTAATAGTTTCCCAGGGCACAAGGAGGACTCAGGAGAGGGACTGGTCAAAGGCACTTGGGGAGGTCCAAAGGGTGAGGATACACTTCTGTGAAGTCATGTGGGGGATACAAGTGAGGGCTTCACATGGTGGTTATAAGGATCAGATCATATTCTAAACAAACTCTTACTAAAGGAATTCATAGTCCAGTAGGAGGGGACCAACTGGTTACATTCCCAACTTCCCTTTCTCCTGAGGCTGAAGCAAAACAATGTAACTCAAGGTGGATAGGATATAGACTTTCATTTCTCGTAACCAGATAAAGGGGAAATGTTAGCTGGAGGCTGATTTTTTTTTAAAAGATTTTATTTATTTATCTGAGAGAGAACGGGAGACAGAGAGCATGAGGGGGGGAGGGTCAGAGGGAGAAGCAGGCTCCCCGCCGAGCAGGGAGCCCGACGTGGGACTCGATCCCGGGACTCCAGGATCATGAACCGAGCCGAAGGCAGTCGCCCAACCACCTGAGCCACCCAGGTGCCCCTGGAGGCTGATTTTTAACGGGCGGGGGCCTCTGCTTTCTCTCCTCTCTTGGGGTCATAATGGTGCTGTCAGGGGAGAGGAGGTATCCACTGGGGAAACCCAGGGAAACAAAGAGTAATTGAGAGCCCAAGCTGGAAGGCAGATAGCCACAGGGGAGGAAGGATTCCCACCCAAAGAGGGGAAGAGCTACAGGAGCTGTGCTCAAAGGGGCTGCAAGTCCCACCTGAGGTAGCGATATTCAAGTACGTGGGTTTGCCTGGCAGGGGGTTATTTCCCAGTTTTAAAATACAAGCCATACAATGTGACCATCTTTTGTTCATTTCAATTTTGAAAAAGATGGAAATAAAGAGAATTGCAAAGATATCCCAAGAGAGACAATGTTATAGCAGCCGGGCAAAGGGGACTGTATGCAACTACTATGCTTTTTTTGTTGTTGCTGTTTTAGGATTTTTTATTATTATTATTTGAGAGAGAGGAGAGAGAGAAAGAATGAGTGGGGGGAGAGGCAGAGGGAGAGGGAGAAGCAGACTCCCCACTGAGCAGGGAGCCAGATATGGGACTCGATTACAGGAACTGAGACCATGACCTGAGTCGAAGGCAGATGCTTAACCAACGGAGCCACCCAGGCGGCCTGCAACTCCTATGTTAATCAGCACATCTGTATGGCAGAACAACATTCAAGGAATTCAATACTTGGTATTATATACAATACTAATAGTCTTCCAATATGATACTGAATTATTTTAATAGTTGTTGGCCATTTAGAAGGTTTTTAAAAACTGTTTTAGTGTGAAAGACTTGAGATTGTTCTATTTAGTTGTGGGAAGAATTGTTTCATGTGTTGGGGTTTTTTAAACAGTCTTGGAATAAGCATAATGTTTAAATAGCCAGTATGTACACCTCTATGTCAGAGGAGTAAAATCTCAATAAACTGGACATATGCACTATCTAGAAAATCCACTTAAATCAAATCATAATAAATGACAAATGCCTATTATGATACCACATATTTTTTAATGCTAGCATGTTATTTTTTGGAAGAGATCAGTGTGACAATGACTTGAATATAGTTTCATTATTCAATTACGATACAAGATACAGACAAATCTTATAAGCAGGGTTTTGACTTCATAACACAGTGAAATTGTAACTCCTAGGTACAAATACCTTCGCATAAAGATATCCTTTAATAATGGCTATATACTGATGACAGTAAGAATTAACAATACTTTCCACTTATGACATTTATCAATAACAACTCTCAACTAACTAGGTCAAAAAAATTAACATGTTGATCATATTGTAACTCCAAATAAATAGGTTATTATGCTCACTGTGTGTGTGTGTGTGTGTGTATTTTTTCAGATAGTTTTAAAAGTCTTAGAAGGAGCAGATGAGGCTCTGAGTACTGATGTTATCGGGGTGCCTTTATCTAACGTTTTAATGTAAAATAAAGCCTAGAGCTCTAGTCAATTAGAGTAAGCAGTCTTTGCGTCTGTTTAGCTGTGGAACATGAGTTACCTCTGAAAAACTGGTTTGTTCCTTTTGTACAATGTACAGAAGAGCAGAGTGTGTCTCCATCTGCTTATTTCCCAGTAACCCCCTGAATTCAGGGAGATCCCCAAAGAGCATAAAGGGGAGCGCCCCACTATGGAACCTTCTACCAGCCTCACAGATCCACCCTCTCCCTCCTTCAGCAACTACAGTGAAGTGTTCTTATCACGGGCTTCTTCCCAGTCACCTCCCTCCCTCTTCCCTTCTTAACAACTTCCGTCTCCAAGAGGAACTGCTAAGAGAACACACTCTACTCTTTCCCATCTTGCCATGCTTCTCCCCTCACCCCCGATGGAGATGGGAAAAAGGCAGAAAAGGAGAGGGAGATTCGCTGCTGAGTGCAAGACAATGCAAGGGGTAAAGGAATGAAAAAGCCAACAACTAAGACTCACTAGATCAAGATGGATACTTGTTGTAACAAATAGAAAACACACTCTAAAGAGTCTCTAGCCTTATAATTACAAATGGGAGTAAGATACAAGGTGACCTAAACAGGACCTGAAGCAATGAAAGAAGGCCATGATGTCCCCAGCTAAGAATCCTACATTACCTTTACTTCTGGAAAGAATAAAATTGGTTATGCATGTTCCTAACATTACAATGGAATTAAAAAGGGTCCAAGGACTTTATTTACATGCTTTATGTTTTCAGCAGGAATGGAACTGTATTCGAATGTAAGTTGGTCTATTTTCACCAGTTTAGTAGACTGTCTTCTAGGACTCTCGTTTGATCAAAGTTTTCTTCTCCAGCTGTAAGGAAAAAAAGGTGCATAAAATAAACACACTTCTCTGTGTTTTAAAAGGGGAAAAGATAAGATGAAGAGAACTTCAAGAAATAAACATTTAGTTTCCTAAATTATGTTAACTACTGCACTTTGCTACTGAGAATCCAAAAAAGTGTTTTGATTGATTTGGTTTAAAAATCTTCCTCCTCAGCTCAAGACACATAGGGGAACTCACATTTCACATCTGACTCTCCAGAATGAATGAAACTATAACGTGGTATGTTTGGTAGAAATCTGAAAAGGCCGTATGTCTTGCTCTCAGTGTGTCTCATTATATCTTAAATATCCACCATTAGAACCGTTCAGGTGCATCAAGGTACGGCCTCCATGTTTCCTGTGAACAATGCATGTTACTTGGGAAAGATGACACTGGAACACTTTTGCACATATTCTCTTATTAGCTGAGCTAGACTAGGCCTGGGGAACAAATGAGACAAAAGGAAGGGATACTTGTGAGCTGCATGGGATTGGAAAACTTTAGAGCATGAGGTATCCCTTCCGGGACAAAGTGGCTAAGGAGTCAGATGATAGCAGGTTCTTGGGACTGTAACAATGGGTAGAAGAGCTAAAACCTACCAAAGGTAGGGAGAGGGAGTTGCCAGAGGAAAATGCCTCTCCTAACTTTCTCTAATGTTATCTTTAGATAAAACCACATTCCTTTAGTTAGTTACAATATAATTTGAATGTCTGAGTTACATTTTAACCTGAATTACTAGCACATTTTAGAATATGACAGATGATGGGCTGCTCTTTAAAGGAAAAAAAAAAACTCAATAAGAAGGGCATCCTTGGACATTGGTCACTAAAATAAAAACTCACTATATAAAATAAGAGCCTACCAAATAATGCTTAGGGACTTTAGAATGAAAATGTTAAAGGTGGCTAGTAATGAATATATCATATGGAAATTAAACACTTTTCCATCAATTTAAATGAGTAAGATTCTGTTTCCTTATTTCATCAGCAGAAACAAGCTGCTCTGGACACTTCAGTGATTAAAAAATTACATTTATTTTCCACAAAAAGACTTGAAATTGGGACCTATAATCACACACTCTTCCCTAAAGTTTCTTTTTTTTTAATTTAAATTTTAGTTAGTTAACATATAGTGCAACATTGGTTTTCTGGAGCCTTCCCTAAAGTGGCTAATGAAAATCCTTCTTCCCCTCTTTAAAATTAGCTCCTCCCTTTCCATTCTAGCTCACTTTTTTCCCCCCCTAACTCCACACATCTTCCCAGCAACTAAATCTAAAACTTCTCTTCCGATCCATCTTCACCAGCACTCTCCTCCTACTAATTTCAACAAACAGTAGGGGTGCCAAATGTTGAATTTAGAAAAGAGTGCCTTGGCTGTAGCATCCTCCACCCATTACCAACTATTTCTCACCTTTTCATTGCAAGAGTTCTGAGAGCCATGCTAGCTAGTACTCCCTTTCTTCTTGTCCCAAATTCCCTCTCAACAAGGCTTCAGAAGGGGCATGGCAGGAACAAATAGTATCACTGAGCAGGAGCTGAGCGGAAATCCTGTGAACTGCTCTTCAATGACCCCTCGTAGCCAACATGATCTTCCTTTCCTGCTGATTTCTGTTCTCTCATTAACCATTAGGCTACATGTGATGCTTTTTTTTTTTTTTTAAAGATTTTATTTATTTATTTGACAGAGAGAGAGCGAGAGCAGAAACACAAGCAGGGGGAGTGGGAGAGGGAGAAGCAGGCTTCCCGTGGAGCAGGGAGCCCAATGCGGGGCTCAATCCCAGGACCCTTGGATCATGACCTGAGCCGAAGGCAGACGCTTAACGACTGAGCCACCCAGGCACCCTACATGTGATGCTTTAATCACTCCTCTCTTAAAACTTTCCACCTTGATTTCTGGATATGCTGTTATTCTGGTTCTCCTCTTACATTGCTGCCTTCTCCTTGAAATATCCCTTCACTGATAGGACTGTCTTCCTTTTCCCTAGGTAAAGGTATTCATAGGTGAATCCTTTATCATCTGCCTTTCTCCTGCTATATCTGAGGCCTAGAAGAGATTTCCATTTTCACGATTTCAGCCTTTATTAACTGGCTCTGACTTTCCAGTTGTTCCCAAATCTGACTGATCATCAGAATCATTTGGGGGAACTTCTCAAGGATACAGATTCTGAGGCTCATTCAACTTTTAAAGAATCAGAATCTCTGGGTCTAAGGCTGAGAAATCTGTATTTTGAGCAAGCTCTCCAGTTAACTCAGATGGAACCTGTCCATAGATGGATAGTTGAGAACCACTGACCTACACACTTTTACTCACTGGACCATTTCTATTATATCAAACTGAACCTTAATTATATCCACAGAAATGTTCATTCATCACCAGCATCACCATTTCAAAATGTGCTTGACTCTCGATTTCCTTTTATCCCTTCAGTAAATAGCTATCCATGTTATTTATTCTTCCCTCCAGGATCCCTCAGAGTTGAGCCTCCCCATCGATTCCCACCGACTGGCTGGCTGCACGTCATCTCCTCACTCCTGTGGTTTCCTGTCATGTTCCTTGGCTTCTCCCTAATTCCCCTCTATGGGTCTTTCCTCTTGGAAACAATGCATTTGAGAGCTGGCATGGCATAATGAAGAGAGCTGTAGAGTCACGTGGACCTGAATTAAAATCCCAACATCACTTCTTACTAACGGCCTGACCTTAGGAAAGTGAATACACCTCATGAAGTTTCAGTTTTCTGAGCTAGAAAAATGCACATTCATATCTGACATATAGCTGACCTTCCTATATTGTAGCTATTGTTACAGTTCTTCTGTGCCACGATCAGATCCATCCTCCTTCACCATGTCATCGCTCTGCTGCCAATCCAGAGGGCATCTTACTGGTTCTCAAAGAGTAAATTACCTTCATTCTTCATCCCAGTTCCAGTATGTACCTGCTATGTAATAGCGGACAAGCTACTTCATCTTTCTGTGCCTCTATTTCCTCGCCTGGAGTGTGGATAATACTGTGCTTACCTCCCAGGGTCACTATGAGGGTTAAATGTATTAATGCATATCACATGCTGAGAACAATGCCTGGCCCCCTGTATTATTGTAAGCCCTCAACAACTATTAGCTCCAGGTAGTAGTAGTAATAATAACAGGTAATCATAGTCCTAGCTCTAACATAACCACTCCTCCTGCGTTCTGCTATTCCACTGACTGCTCGCCCTATCTTTTTTTTTTTTTGAGATTTTATTTATTTATTTGAGAGAGAGCACCCACGAAAGCACAAGTGGGGGGAGGGGCAGAGGGAGAAGCAGACTCCCTGCTGAGCAGGGCTGATCCCAGGGACCCCGGGATCATGACCTAAGCTGAAGGCAGACGCTTAACTGACTGAGCCACCCAGGTGCTCCTCACCCTATCTTTTTGCTACAAGGGTCGTTCTCATTCCTGCTTCACCTTAATCTGCTTTCTCATCTGCCTGCCAGTAGCTGGCATCTCACGGGCATAAGTGCATGTAATCCCCTCTCCCCACCCACAGCTGCCCTGGCCTTGCTCTGAATTCAGAGGACCCCCAATGCCACTCTCTTGCATTTGCTTCTCATCGGTATCTTTTTCACAAGAAAACCATAGGCTTGAAGCCTTGAAAGCACCCTTTGCTCTCTTCTCCCTGCATGGCCCCTTCAATACTGGGCGCCGAGGATATATATATCTTCTTCATTAGCATAAGTCTCAGAGCACTAGGCCAGCAGCAACCTGTGCTTTGACGACCAGACCACTTGCTATACATTTTTAAAATGTTTAAGCATTTAGGGGCGCCTGGGTGGCTCAGTTAGTTAAGCGACTGCCTTCGGCTCAGGTCATGATCCTGGAGTCCCGGGATCGAGTCCCGCATCGGGCTCCCTGCTCGGCAGGGAGTCTGCTTCTCCCTCTGACCTTCCTCCCTCTCATGCTCTCTGTCTCTCATTCTCTCTCTCAAATAAATAAATAAAATCTTAAAAAATAAAAAAATAAAAAAAACGTTTAAGCATTTAAATTATGTCACAGTATGGCATTACTACAATTTTGAGAGGGAAAACTCTACATCTGTTTATTATGCTTTGATGACCTCTATTGTTAATAGTAATTCAAATTATGTACCTTGTTTCAATCGGCTCTCATAGCAATCGTGCACATGGGTATCATTATTCTATTTTACCAATAATGATACTAAGACTCAGGATCATCCAGCTAGTAAAGCAGCAGAACCAGGATTTGAACCCTGTCTGCTACATACCCCAAAGCGCTGGCTTATCTATTACCAAGATGCTTTAATTCAACTAGTGGTTTCAGTGCCCCATGGACAGAGTGTCTCTATTTGAAAAATACACCTAATCTTCGTATAGAAGAAGCTGTATAATAAAAATCACACAGGCTTAGAATCAGAACTGGTCCATATCTATTAGGATGTACCATATAATATTGCTATATTTGCAAATAAAAATAAGTCATTTTCAGCAATTTCATTTGGTTCAGTCATTTGGTTCTAAGTGAAATGAGATTACAATAGGCTCTGGATTATGAAATTAATATGAAATTCCCCAGAGTCATCAAGGAAATGTTTTTATGTTCCTGGGGACTCACTTTCATGAGAAATGTACTAGTGTTTATATAATAAACCTGTCTGAGTTTCTGGAGCCGGGGGCAACTGTTAATTATATTTAAAAATCTGAGTAAAAGCAACTTTGTTGTATTCAACACAGAATCCCAAAAGTGATTAAAGCTTCCCTGTCCTGCAGCTGAAATAAGTCACTATACTTGTACCTTCTTGTGGTTTCTGCAAGGAAGCCAAGAGCAGAGCTGCTGCTTCTGGAAGAGTTAGTAGTTGGGGATTTGGGCTGCGTCTCTCTGGAGAAACAAAAGTATATACAGATTCTATTAGCATTTAAATATTCCTGTTCTGATATGCTCCAAATAGAAAAACCTTTATGAAATAGATTTTTGATCCCTTAGCAAATCACCCCCCCCCCACACACACAGAAGACTGATTTTTAGGAATTTAAACATTTTATAGTTCCTGTGGATGTTACTTACAATTGGTTATGGTGTGTATTACAGGTATGGAAGAGATTTTAAACTCTACAGAGAATTTCACAAAAGGAGGGTAAATTGAGGTAAAGAACTCTGAATAATTTCACCCTTCAGAGCTTAAAATTGAATGTCTGGGCAGAAACATTGAGATGTAATGGATACTCCTGGGAGCCTGGGCTACTTCCTCTTCCATTCCGTCCAAAGCTGTTTGAAATAATAATTACATTCCTGGCCACGCTTAGGGCACATTACAGTCCCTGGCCCTATTCTTAATGGCCCCTACCTGTTAACAATTTCTGGTTTTTAACTGCTTTATAGCCCTTCTAGTAATGCAATAGGGGCGTACACTTGAAGTTTCCAGGTAAATCACTACTTCAATAACAACAAAAACATTTAAGAGGAAACCGTTTAAAGGTCTTGGCATAAACGGGGAGGTACATTTTAGGGGCAGTTGCACCGTTCTCGCTCGCCCTCCTTCACTCCTGGAAGGTGAACCCCCAGGCCTGGCCTGTCCCTGGATAACTCCCCCGGGGACCTCTGCACACCCGGCGGCCAGAGGGCGGTCGGAACAGCCGAGACCGAGTTGTTCAGCTTCGGGAACCTCAGCTCCAGCCTCAGCCGCTCAATAGTGCAGGGCGCCGCGGCCGCCAGCTTAAGCTCGGCCCCGGCTGGCTCTCTCCCAGGGCGCCCCGGAGTCGCGGCCCTCGCGGAGGGGAGCCGCTGTCTTGGGGCGCGCGCCCCGCCCGCTGGATCCTGCTGTGAGTCGCCGCACGGGCCTCCTCCTCCCTCGCTCACTCACCGGGCGGCGGCCGGTCGGAGAGGTCCTTCTTCCGGCTCTGGTCCGAGATGAAGGGACGCCCCTCTGCAAAGGCGAGACGCGGGGCTCAGCGGCTGCCAGGTGCTCAGCGATCCTGGTTAACCTGGGCTCCGCGCCGTGAGTCCCCAGGCCCGGAGGGGTGGGGCGGCGGCGGCGGCCGGGGTCCGGGCTGCACTGCCAGTTTTCCGGCGCTGGGAGTGCAACCCCAGGCTGCACCAAGCGCCCTGCCCGCGCCCTACCCCTGCGCTGCCCGCACGGAGCCTTGTCCCCTACCCCTGCGCTGCCAGCGCCGAGCCTTGTCCCCGCGCCTGCCCGCGCCCTGCCGAGCCCTGCTCGCGCCCTGCCTGCACCTGCTGCACCCCGCCCGCGTCCTGCCCGCGCCCTGCCCGCCGCGGGGAATGGGCTTTGGAGCAGTGGTCGGGTTCTAGGGTCCTTGTGGTGTTTCCCAGGCTACTCCGGAGTCTTTCTGTGCGTCAAGAGCCAGCAACCCTCCAGTTCAGAATGGAAAGGTTCTAATAATCAGGGAGTCTTTCTCTTCTACTGCCCCTTTTCTTTGACCAAGACCAGGCTGACCTCGATTATTTAAGGGAACGCACTCAATATTATTCTCTCCCCACACATCTATCCCGTGGATTCATGCACCCCGAAGGATCCTCCTTTATTGCTGTAGGAAGAGCAAAGTATTTGGAACATACGTGCACCCTTCAGGTAGAGCATAGATTGAGGAGTCCAGTTCCTTCTCTCGAGTCCCTACAACCCAGGGAGAGGAGAAAAGCAGTTAGCAAGACATTGTAGCCCAGTCCTCTGTTAGAAAAAAAGAAAGGAAGAGAGGGAGGGAGGGAGAAGAAAGAGAAGAAACAAAAGGAAGGAAGGAAGGAAAGGAAGGAAAAGAAAGAACATCCAGGAGCCCCAGTTTTTGCGTTTGATTACCTGTGGTGCACTGCTGGAATTTCCTAAGAAAGAAAACACTAGAAAAAGAGCCAAGGTTGTTGCCACCAGACTTCTGAGTCCCTACAAGAGAAGATCAAAGAAAGTAATTTCTGTGCCTATAGGATCTTCTACTTCCGTGACACCTGGACAATTAGAAACTTCCTAACTTTTCAATATGCTCTGTTTTAATAATACTTAGTATGTGGGGGAGAGGGGGATTCCCGAGGCTACCTTCTAGTTAATGCACAAAAGAGTTCTCTTCTTAAAAAAAAAATTTAGAAATATGTTACTTTCATTACTTCACCCAAAATGAGTGATTTTTTTGTAGCAAAATCAAATGATTCTGATATTTTAAGGCATATTGTTTAAATATCCTTTAGCCTATAAAATGCTTATTAAAGGTAAAATAGGTAAAAAGCTATAAAGCTTTTTATAAATAGCTTAAAAGTCTCGACTAAATAAAACTTTTACTTACCTTCATGTTCACCTCCTTTCCAGAGCCTGCGATAACTGTAACTTTACCTGTCAGTTTTCTAATCCTTTTCTGAGAGTGGGGCTTTTAAATCTTAGTGTCAAGGACCCCTCCTGATCTTCAGTAGAGTTAGGGAGTCCATAGGGACTTCTTGTCAGTATTCAAGATTGAGAGGATCTGACAATTTTTCCAGGGAGATTCGTTCGCAGGAAGTAAAGAAATGATTGATGAGTGGACATCACTTATTTACATACTGACCACATCAGCCAGGAGATATTCTGAATATATCAGCATCATTGTTTTTGCTTTTCCCACTAGCTTCCCAAAGTATTTATTATTAGTAGTAGAGAAAATGATTAAAAAGCCCAGGCTGAATCAAAAGTAAATGAATAAATAAGTGAACTTGTCTTGGGTAGCTGGTTATCAAGCTATCACTGATGACTAAACATGAATCAAATGGGTAGAAATAAAAATGTTAGGGAATCTCAATGGAATTCAACATCACTCCTTCACTTATGTATCCATTCAATTATTTAACAAACATTTATTGAATGCCTACTATGTATCAGACATTTTTCTTTCTAGTTCAAGGGACACAGCCATGCATTAAAAAGACACGGTCTTTACTGTGATCAAGCTTATCTTCTGGTCAGGGGAGAAATTCTGTAAACTAGTCAACAGGTAAATTAGGTAATTATAAATGTTTTAAATGCTTTATAAAGTAAAAATAAGCGAGGTGATGTGATAAGTGCTGGGTTACTTTAGGGAAGGCAGCAATTGAGGGGGTTCTGGAAAGATCAGGTAGAGTCAGACATGAGATGAATCAGAGTGAGAATTAGTGAAACAGGCAGAAGAAAGAAAAACAAAATCTTGGGGTGGCAAAGAGCTTGGCTTGTTTGAGGAATAGGGAGACCAATGAGACCAAACTGAGTGGTCATGGGGTGATAAGGGAGAGTACTTTGAAATGAGGTCAGAGAGGAAGAAATGGTTCATATGGAAACATGATCATAAGCAAAAGACGATGATGGCTTAGACTTGGGTGGGACTTGCAGGGAATGGAGAGCTGTAAATGAATTTGGGATGTTTGTTGGAGGTAGAAAATTCAGAACCTGTGGATAAATGGGATAAGAGCGTATAAGAAAAACAAATCAAGGATGAGTCTTGGGCTTCTGGCTTAAACATTGGTTATGATAAAGCCATTTACTGAAATTGGGAGACTCCAGTTTAGAGAGGGGACTTAAATTTCAATATTAAGATTAAAACATACATTAAAGATCTAAGTTGAAGTGTGAAGTAGGCAGTTGGAAATGCAAAACTCTACACAGCTCAGCAAAGAGGTCACCAGCCTAGATTTTTTTCTAAGGGCAGAAATTGTCAAATTTAAGAATTGTGAGAATTTTAAGGCAGGAAAGGGATTGAACGAGAACACTTTGAGAGTGAATGGAATTAAAGAAGAGAAGCAGGGACAGAGCTATGAAAACAAACATGCAGAAATGAGCAAAGGGAGAGCCAGCAAAGCAAGTTGAGGTGAAGATACCAGAAAGAAAAGAGAAATTCCTGGAGACCATGAGACCGAGGAAGCCAGCAGAATATCCAACGACGTTGAGAGGTCATAGTAGATGAGCACCAGCAAGTGTGCACTGGATTTGGAAATATGATGGTTTTTGAGGACATAAGCTAGATTGGAGTGGGTTGAAAGTGAATAGGATATGAGGAAATAAAGACAAGTGCAGATAGCATTTTTAAGTTAGCTTCACTACATTTCACTAAAAGGGGGCAAGGAAAAATGAAAAAAAATTTTTTTAAAGATTAGATGCTTGAGTGTGGTGGAAGTGTGCTATTATTTTTTGGCCTTTCAGTAACATCTGAACCCTTTCATTTTTAGGGAATTCCTAAAATTCCCTAAATTATGAATTATGGCATTATGAATCTTGGTGGGAGACAAAGCCTTCCTTCTATTGTGCAAGGTGAAAATGTCAGACACTCATTTTCTCAGCCTCCCTGTCAGGTAGGATGTGGGCACATGACACATGCTTCACCAATCAGACCCACTTGGATGGGAAATCTGGAGCTAGGATGGAGGAAAGTGGGAATCAGGAGAGACATTTTCTGGTGCAGCAGTGGTTGCGGTAGGTTTGAGTTTGCAGGGACAATACTGCCTACAGTGCTCATGTCAGATTCCAGGATGCGGACACCCCTGGAGTGTCCTGCTAAAATCAGGTTTGTTGGTTTCCCGTGATGCCAACTAACAAACCATTTGCAGAACACATATGCTGATGGAGATGATCAGGAGGAGACATTGATAATGCTAAAGAGAAAGTAACTGCTTTAAAGGAATGTGTAGAAGGCAAGAGGGAAAGGATGCAAACTAGGTCAATATCCAGGGGAAACAATTACATACATAGGCAGATACTGAACAAGGACCTGAGTACCCATCATAGGCTAAGGTAAGAAGATAGGCTAAGGTAAGGTAAGAAAGAAAATCCCTTTCCTCTAAAAGTTAGAGTAGTGCTCCTTAGGAATTAATATGCATGTGAATCATCTGGGAACCTTGTAAAGATACAGATTCTGATTTAGTACAGGTGGAGTGAGATCTGAACTTCCGCATGTCTTTTTTTTTTTATTTGAGAGAGAGCATGAGCAGGTGGGAGGGGCAGAGGGAGAGGGAGAAGTAGGCTCCCTGCTGAGCAGGGAGCCTGACACTGGGATTCCTTCCCAGGACCCTGGGATCATAACCTTAGCCTAAGGTAGGCACTTAACCAACTGAATCACTGAAATTCTGCATTTCTAATAAACTCCCAGGTGACGCTGATGGATGTTACTCCACTGATCCTAGGACATTTTGAGTAGTAAAGCTTTAGAGGATATAAGTGATAAAAATGAAACTTTGAAAAAAAAAAGAAGATAGTAGGAAGGGAAAAATGAAGGCGGGGAAATCGGAGGGGGAGACGAACCATGCGAGACTATGGACTCTGAGAAACAAACTGAGGATTCTAGAGGGGAGGGGGGTGAGGGGATAGGTTAGCCTGGTGATGGGTATTAAAGAGGGCACATACTGCATGGAGCACTGGGTGTTATACGCAAACAATGAATCACGGAACACTCCATCAAAAACTAATGATGTAATGTATGGTGATTAACATAACATAATAACATAAAATTTAAAAAAAATGTAACTTTGGAGTCTGTGTGGCTGGGAGAATGGTTAGCCATAGAAATATCAAGGAGTATGAGGACAGAACAGATAAATTGGATTCAGGATTGAAGTTTGAGGGGCTGATGAGATCTATCTGCAAATACTTGTGTAAGAGAGATTGGGATTTGGGCGATTGATATTTAGACTTGCCAGCCTGTAAAGACATGAGGTTTGGTTAGTAAATGAGAATGGAATACAGAAAGTTGTCTGTAGGTAGAAATTTGTGGAATATTTACTCCTTTTAAAATATAAGTCAAGCAAGAAGGAGCCAAAACCATTACTGTAGTGTTTCTCACAATGTTAGAAGGGAAAGAATAAAAACCAAGGACTAATAGGTTAACACCAAAACTGGGTAAAATCTTAATATTTCTTTAAATATTAGACTTCAGGATTTTAGGATTTAATTTCAAGGGATTATAGCAACTTCCAAAAAAGGGCAATAAAAGAAATAAAATTATACATGTGTTTGTTTCAAATGAACTCATAAGTGAAACCCAATTGCTAGCTAACCTAACAAGCAAAATGCCTATTTCCCCCTCTCCGTACCAAAAACACATAAACATTTTAGAAAGAGGGACAGGAAAATGATTCACCGATAAAACTGTGTCTTGAATTTACGATTTTAAGGAAAAAGGTATGATGTAGTTTGCTTATGAAAGTTTAGCTAATGAATTCACAAGCAGATGCTTTATGTCAAAGCTGCCATTTTCAGCATAATACGCACAAATGAGGAGAATGGTTTTGACATATTATCAATATTGTAGTCTTATCAAAAGCAACATCCTAGAATGCATTTGTCTAAAATGGCATTGCCTCTTAATACGATTTTGTTAAATCGTAACACTTTAGGACTTTTACAGGTCCAAGCTTAGAAATGGGCTAAGAAAAGTTATTTGATGAAAGCACTTGACAGATAAAACAATTGAATTTTGTTCTGCTGACATTATGACCAGGCAATGGGCATTGGACAAATTAAGATAAACATTTTTTAAAGGCATATTCAATGGAGACCATTTTGCCCGTATCACTGACGTTACCTGAATTCTTCCAGTTGACTGGATCATGCCCAGGTCCATTTATACAATAATGGTCACTGTTTAAATTGTATTTTACAAGGTTAGTGATTATTGTGTTTACATAGAAACTTGGGTAGTTACCTGGATAATATGGCTGTTATAATAAAAGATCCAAATTACTTCTTTGATGACAGAATAGAGGATTTTGGTATAATATGAATGAGGTCATTGGTTCATTCTCCTACTTTGGCTTTATTCAGTACCAGGGCCGGTCTATCCTATAGGCCGGCTGTCTCACAAACAGAAGTCATTTCCTCAAAGGGCTACCAGTCAGATTCAGCGGCACAGAGAAGGCCTGCTCTCCAAAATAAAACTCCCCATTCATTGGTCAGCGTCTACTGTCTTCCTTTTACTTAAGGCGTTGAACCTCGAGAATCTCTTTTCTGTAATCAAATAATACAAACAAGTGGAAAGTTCTATGAGAGGACAAGGATGGACCAGCTGTTTTGCTATAGTGGGTCAAGAAAGATATGACAGACATGGACTTTTGATTAGGTCTTGAGAGCTAGTAGAGGTAAGGTTGTGGAAAAGTGTGCCATTTGGGGCATCCTACTTCTGTGTCCTACCTCCTACATGGGGTAAAGGTAGCAGAAGGGTAGAGGTTGGAACCTTTCAGCACAGAGGACAAGGTTAGAAAGATACCCATTAAAAGAGACTTAAGACTTCTGGTTCACCAGACAATAGTCAAGACCTGCAGTTCAAGTATTGGATTCAACAAATACTTATGGGGTACTTTAAGTGGTAGACATGGCCAGTGATTTTTAGCCTTACCAAAATTTATAATCAAAACACTGAAGTGGTTTTGTCTGTCACAAATACTTATTGTATTATTCTTCTCATTACTATTATTATTAATTTTAATTTTTTTATGTTCAGTTAGCCAATTCTTTTCATTTTGAGAAAAAAAATTTAAATATTTCTCCACTATTTCTAAATTCACTGCCCACTTTTTTACCTGAAGTCCATTTCTATTTATGATTACATTTAAACAATTTGGAAATGGAAAATGTGATGACCATTTTATAAAAAAAGGAAAACTGCATATAAGGCTAATTTTAAAAAAAGAGGTGAGTTATTGCGCAATGCTAAATTAATTTTTAGAATTTCATTAGAAAGATACATTTGACCATGGTTAAGGACTGAATATGTATTTTCCCCAAATTCATATGTTGAAACCCTAACCACCAATATGAGGGTATTTGGAGGTGGGGTTTTGGGGAAGCATGATGGGATTGGTGTCCTTATAAGATGAAGAGACTAAAGCGCTCTCTGCCGTATGAAGATGCAGCAAGAAGGCAGTTCTGCAAGCCACAAAGAGGGTCCTCACCAATAACTGAATCTACCCTCACCTTCTTTTTGGACTTCTCCACATCCACAACTGTGAGAAATAAGTGTCTGTTTAAGCTGCCCAGTCCACAGAATTTTGTTATAGCAGCCCAAGCTAAGACAACCACCAATTAATAAAAAGTACCCTTTTATTGAGAGGTAAGACAAGTGTATTTACAATATTCAATTGTTAGATCATATAATCTGACTGTGAGACTTTTTAAAGCAGCAGTATTCCAGAAATTACAATTTATAAGGGGAAAAGAAAAACATTGCAAGTATGTTTCTGTTACAGAAAATACATTTGAACAATGCCAGGTACACTTAAGGCTAAGTAGTATTAGACCTTTTGCTCCATCTTTATAGCAATAATCAAAGTACATTTTTGTCACAAAGACAGAAGGCTAATTTTGGAAAGAAACAATATAATGTACAGTGCTTTCTGTCAGAAGACTAATATGTTTAAAAATAGAGCCTCATCAGTGGTTCTGAGAAGAAATATACAATGCTGCCAAGCAGTCCCAAACTCACATTTGAAATTAACTGTGGACTCTGAAAACTGAAAACTGCTCCAGCCTCTCAATCTTACTAAGGACTGGGAGATCATCAAATCCTTTACACAACTTCTAATAACGCTTCTGAAGTAAGATTTTGAAAAAGAGATCTGTTACAGTGCAAAGAACATTTTGATAGAAATTCATGTCTACAAAGGAGTTAAATAATACAGATGTTCCTTACATTAACAGATACAGTTCTTGTTCTAAAAAGATAGAATTATCTAGCCACTGAAAATAATATGGATCAGTCAAAAATATGTATAAGAGTCCTACAGGGCAACTTGTATAAGTCGATCCCCAAAATATGTATATATTTGACACTCTCCAAATGAGGATATTACTTTTTTGAAGAACATTAGACACAACACTAGGTCTCTTATTATTCCATGAACTATTGAGGTAGGAGTCTCAGTTTGTCAATATCATCTAGTTTCACAGATTATGTCATAAGTCAAATGCCAGTACCAAAAGACAATAATCCACAAGACTGAACCATTAAACTATATACCAAGTCTTTCCTTCTTTAGACAAGCAAGGATGGGAGTTCTCTGTGCATTGAGATTTAACTAAAAATAACATAAGCTGTGATATATTTTGTAGACATGTTTGTAAATAAAAATCACAAATTTCAGTTATGATTTTGTGCATTAAAAAGCTTTGCAACTGTTAAAAAAAAGTAAATAGTGCAATCATCAGTGGTAAAACAAACAGTACTATGGCTGTTGACATATATTCTTACCTCTACCAAAAAAGCTGCCACCTTGGAAAACTACTAATGAAGAAACGACCCCTGTTTCTTCCTGTCAGTCAAGCATCAATGGTAGAAAAAAAACATTTTTTTAGTGTCGTGTTTTTAAGAAACTATAGCCCATTTAATTACAGTAAACTACCTTTAGCATGTGAATTCAGATATTTTCTCCATGAACTCAAGATGAAGAGTGATCTTATGAAGCATTCATCATGCATTTTTATGTTAGGAAAAAAGCTAAAAATAAAGGAAAACTCAGCTTTCATGAAAAGCCCTTAACAAATATAAGTTTAACCTTTTAACATGTTACATTTCAAACATTATCAATAGTTATTTAATTTATGAAAAGCAAAATGATAAAATCACTACTAAAATTAAAAAAAAAGAAAAAAAAAAAAAAGAAAAACTACACCATGACGGAAAAATCCATTTGGTTTGCATCGTTTGGTATCTTAAATAAAAGACTATTCAATGAAACAAGGCATGTAACAGACTACTTCATGGTTTTTGTTAGATGCTTACATATAACAAAGGATACAGATAATTAGGTCAGATTCTCAAGAAGTATGAGTAGTTCCGGAGTGTTTAGTTATAAAGAATGACCTTTGCATAACTGACAGTGAATATCTAGTTCAGATTTTCATCCGGCTTTAAAATATTAAGAATCAGAAGAACCACAAATGTTTTATTTTAACCATATGTTCACAAAAAAAAAAGTGATTCATACATCAAAACTGGGTTTTCCTTGGTTTTAATACATTAAATGACATAATCCAATCTAACTCAGGCATCACTTTCAGACACACAGTGCAACTGGAAATACTTTTGCCATTCCAGTGGATATTTCTAAAAAGGAAAGACCTACGGGTGCTCCTGCGCCTTCAAAATAAGAAGAAAAGAAACAGGCCCCACAGTTCTCCAAGGATGGCTGTGTTTTGCACGTTGTGGATAAACAATAAAAATCACCTTCAAGAGTTTCAATAAGTATTGTAACATAGATTCATCTCCTTTAGTTTGCTTGCTGACTTCTTAGATCACTTGATTAGAAGCCTGTTCTCATTGCCTCTTTGTTAACTGCTATTGGTACTTTGTAGACTATACGTTTTAAACTTCTGTAAAGAACATTACAAGCTATTTCATGTAATTTAATTTTGTGCTGAATATTCTTCAAAGGATTTTATAAATAATACAATATTTTAAATGAGTCTTCAATTCACTTGTTGTTATACCATATTGTTGCTTTCTCCAACTTTATCTACAAACTGCAAGGAGAAGAAAAACAGGTAATTAGAAGAAAGCCCAGATCTTTATAAAAACATTGTATCAACATTTTAAGTGTTGATTAAAAACCCAGCTTTATAAGATTTGTGGAAATTTAAGGTGTGACTGACAATGGTTAATCCAGTCCTACTCACCACAATCTCTTAACACATAAATGTGTATAAAAAAATGTTCTTTGTTAAGGTTGTTTTTGCATGACATGTTATGCATATGACTTTAAGGGTACAACACGAGAAATGCAACACGATGAATAAAACAATCGGACAAAATGAAGTTAACACTGCTAGCTTAACAAAAAAATAAAAAAATAAATAAAAAACTGAAATGTCAGCCATTCATGCATCAATGAACCCAATAAGGTATTTCAACTGACCATTACTGAGGATCTCTTCTGGGCCTATGTAGTCTTTGAACAAACAGATTGAACTCCATTAAGTTCAGTAATTAACAGCTATTGACTAAAAATACTTTAAATGTGTATTCTGGACTTCAGACTGAAAGTGGCATGGGCATTAAAAATAGATGTAATGAGGTGAGCATAAATTTATAGGTACTGAATATAAATTTTCACACACATTAATGTAAGTTGTTATTCACTTTGGCTAGTCTACCCCAAACGTAAAGCAATTGGGCCTTCTTCAGCATTCCAGATGGTGATGCAAATATTGAAACAAAATCATTAGTGGAGATATATTAAAAGTTATATAACCCAAGTAGTCATAATACTATCAAAATCTAGCAATCATTTAACCCTTCCTTTCATTTCACTACTCACATTTTTACTGAACCATTTATTATAATGAAGTAATAATCATAGGAAACAATTTACAGCACTGGGTGTCCACTTATGCAAATACTGAAGAACCCTTAAATTAAGGACGTGAATAATGATTACACAACTGTATAACTAGAAGTTTCGATAAATTCAAAAGCCATTCTAAGTAAAAACAACATTGACTACAGTATGAGTTTGGAGATTAATGTAAATGAAATCTGAACATAACCCTCTATAAGCCCACATTCCAACATTTTATATTATTATAAATAGATGAATGGCATGCCAAAACTAAAAGCTGCTTTGAAAGTACCATAGGCTCATTAGGATTTTAAGGTAAATTTACGTGGAAAGAAAGCACAACATTCTCTCTCCAAAGGTAACTTCAAACATCTAGGTTGTCTAGGTGGTAAAATTCTGAGTGTAAAATTGACTTGAGGTTGGAAATGAGATTTTGTCTTACAGCAAAACCCATTCTTCAGTGGGTAAGCCATCCTTTAGCTCTCTGAGAAACCAGTAAATGCTATGGATTATCTCTCTATAAACATCTACAAATGTCTGTAAACAACTTTAGGAAGTTGATCGCCCATGTTGGAGGAACAGATTTGATGAGATCATTCAAATTGTGGAGAGAGCTGGGAACAGAATTTTATCATCTGACTTCCACTATAATCGTGCTTGATTTAATTATCTTAATGCATGCTATTTGGTGATACAGTCTAAGAAAGAAAATATTATTAGATATAATGATGTCCTTTTTACATAACGGCTTCTAAAATTAGAAATCATATAAAAGTTAATTGAAAAGGGTCTTGAACTCTCAAAGAGAAAGGTAGCATAGCATATCAATCTGAGTTACATTTAAAAAAAATCGAGAATATTAAAAATGGATATAATGAAATAAAATTTCAGGTTTTTTACAGTTAGCAATGATTATTTTCTCTGGTATTCATGGTAACCATGATCTATGGTGATGTAATAATTTATATCATAATAAAAAACATCAATTAATCAGGTATCAATTACTTGTATTTCTAGAGGTAAAGAACACAAAAAGTATTATTTTGATGGTTTAAAAATTTTATTTCTAATACATGATAACTTACTGATCTAATTCCAGGTAAATTCAAGAGGGATCCAAGGACTGGCACTCTTCTAATAAAGCCAATGACCACAGGAAAGAAGCCCCTAGGAAGAAGGAAAAAAGGTTCTCAGAACTTACAGATTCTTTATTACCAAAATCAATTGCTAACCAGGTAAAAAGAAAGGATCCACTTAAAATTTTGAATGTTTTAGAGACTTTAAATTTCAAATGTTACCTTTAGTGGTAATGTTTCTTACCTCTCCCCGGATATGATCTCTTTCTTAATTATACTCCTATTGTATTGTGCTTATACATCTATAACACATTACTACTATATCCTGCTGGTATCTTTATAGTCTGTTTCCCATATCAGAAATGAGAGATTCTCTAAAGCAGATTTGACACTTAATTCAGTTTTATGTCTCCCGTGAATAACAACACAGTGTTTGGCAGACAGAAGATAAAGGATATACATTTTTTGAATAAATAATTAAACCAACCTTATTTAAAGGTATTTTCTCACATAGAATACTATTGTTTATTCACTTAGTAACTAGCATTTGTAAAATATTGACTGGTCAAAATCTACCATAGTGTGTTCAGTACAAAATTTTCTAATGACTGTATATACTAAAAGAATTGTCATCAAGTGGCAGTAACTATGCAGTATCAGGTTCTATGAATTAAAATGCTATATGTATGTATGTATCACTGTTTAGTTGCTAAAAATAACAGACAAAGTGCCTTAAATGCAAAGTGCCTTAAATAGAAAGACAGTGCCTTAAAATCCCAATAAAACCTACTGCATTGAAAATACAAGATAATGACCTTATTGGCAATCATCTATATTTAATAAACATTTTTATAGTTGACTGAATTAAAGAGATTCAATAAAAGATTCAATGCAAACAAAAATCCGCTTGAGAAAATTATGGTGTTTGTACTCATGCTGATGCAAATATCTGGGTTTTTATAATAGTTAATTATTTGACATACTGGTTTATTGAAAGAGAAAAAGTACAATAAAATAATTGCCTTACCTGAACAAGAGAAAGAATCCATAAATTTCAAAGATCATGCCTATCAAAGGCCAACCAATAAGGACTACAAATACTCCACCCAGGAAAAATCCTGTAGCTTTCATTTTATGTTTTTGGAAGAAGAATCTGAATGTTCTTTCTAAACCAATGACAAAAGCCAAGCCAGCCACAAATAAAACCTAGAAGAGAAAGAAAATGCGAGATAGAAAAAGTAGTTAAACATACTGCATAGATTTGAAAAGCAAGGTCAAAGCTAAATATAATAAAAAGCAGTACATCTGTCTCTTAGTGGGGGCAACTGGCTGAAGGAAACTATGAAGCATGCCAAGAGGCAGAATCAAGGAGTGGGCTAAGCATGCAAAAGTTGGAGCTGGATTCCACTCTTCTCAGTCCTCTTCTATCTTTTTTTTTTTTTTTTTTAAAGATTTTATTTATTTGACAGAGAGAGACACAGCGAGAGAAGGAACACAAGCAGGGGGAGCACGAGAGGGAGAAGCAGGCTTCCCGCGGAGCAAGGAGCCTGATGCAGGGCTCGATCCCAGGACCCTGGGATCACGACCTGAGCTGAAGGCAGACGCTTAACGACTGAGCCACCCAGGCGCCCCGAGTCCTCTTCTATCTTGATTAAATGGAGAAAAAGAGAACCAAAGAAAGATCAGATGTTACCAATGGGCATGCACATATGCAGTGGTTCTCCCAGGTAAGCAAGATGGAGAGAGCTTTAGTTAAACAGGGGAGGGGCCAGGCAAAAGAGGAAGGCTGCCCATAAACACGTCACCCGAAAGTACTGCTGGTTCTGCACACTTCACCACAGGCTATAGGAGTGCCTATGGGTGGGAGAAATACTGACATGGCCAAGATGATAGAAGAAACCATGCAAAGCCAGGAAGAGGATTCTAGTCTTACTAATCCCAGAATCTCTGGTGGCAGCAGAAATAAAAATAAAGCCATATGTTCTCAAATATACATATATTTTGTATGTTTCCAGATAGTGAGCCAGAAATGGTCATTGATTAAAAGCTTGCTTTCCCCCCAGGTTTTATTCCCAATATCTTGCCTTTCTTTGTAACTATCTTTAATGAAAAATTTTTCACACAAGTATTGATTGAGCCTAATGGTTAAGCTTCATATTCTCAGATAGCAATGCTACTTATTTATTAATTAAAATACCAATTTTGAGGGTGCCTGGGTGGCTCGGTGGGTTGGGCATCTGCCTTTGGCTCAGGTCATGATCCCAGAGTCTTGGGATCAAGCCCTGTCTCAGGCTCCCTGCTCAGCCGGGAGTCTGCTTGGCCCCTCTCCCTCTGCCCTGCTCGTACGTGCTCTCTCTCTCTCTCAAGTAAATAAATAAATAAATAAAATCTTTAAAAAAAAAAATACCAATTCTGAATAGTTTTGTTAACCTTTATATTTTCTAATTTCCAATTAAAAGCTCTATGGTAATATACATTTCAAATATATTTAATATTATTCAGTAACTTTGTTGTCTTCTTAAAAGGGTTATGATTTATTTCTAGAACTCTTGCACAACCTTCACACATGGACAACAAAGTACACATTCCAAATAAACAACACATATACCTTTCTCAGCAAGCTGACTGTTAATATACAGGCATATTAAGAGGTTTAAATGGTTTTTAAAAATCTGTTTATTTTATGCTATTGAACCAAATGTTTCAAGTCATATGTTTTAAGTCAAACATATTAATAAATTTACCAAGACATGGGGACTACCAAGTCATCTATTTTGAACTCCTATCTAAAGGCAGCCTTGATTTAATCTATTGTGTATTACATATCAAACACTCAACAGTCACTCAAAAACCTCTTTAAGTGTTTACCTGTTACTTAAACAGGTTTTTTTTTTTTAATTTTTTAAAAGATTTTATTTCTGTGACAGAAAGAGAGCGAGCAAAAGCAGGAGGAGAAGCAGAGGGAGAGGGAGAAGCAGGCTTCTCACTGAGCAGGGAGCCCCCGATGATGCGGGCTCGATCCCAGGAACCTGATATCGTGACCTGAGTGGAAGGCAGGTGCTTAATCAACTGAGCCACCCAGGCCTAAACAGGTTTTATTTCTGATGTAAACAGAGAAGATAATAGGAATCTTTACATGAGTAACAGTGAATTATTTCCCCCCGATTTAATAGCAGGCAATAATTCATTTGTAATTAACGTTTCCTTATGAATTTAGTTAAAATATATGTTGAAAAACTTACATTTCCAATAGCCAGTAGTGCTTTGTCAAAAAAGAGAATCATCCCAAAGAACAGGAAAAACACTCCAAATCCTGTTAATCCCATTCCAATTTCTGCAATATAAGTTATATAGTTAAGGGTAAAGAAAAATAAAAGTTACATTAAGATCCCGGTAAACTAAGTAAGAAAATTTTTCAGTTTTTCTTTTGGCTGATATAAGAAAATAGGTCCCCAACATTGCAGATTAATTTTATGACATTTATTAAGATCTATAATAAATTAAACTAACATCAGCAAATAACTTCAAAATTTAAAATATAAATGGAAATCTCTAATCCTTATATGAGAGATAGCACTTCTCATAAACATATGCATGATAGAGGAAGATAATCAGGATTTTAAACCTTTGATTATGTATTTTTTCCCTCCCAAGGACGCCTCTGGCATCAGACATAAATATATGGTTTTCTTTTACTATTTATCTCCTTTCATATCCTAGGACTATTATTTATATGCACAACATCTAGAGTTACTTCTTTCTCCTCTTAAATTAATTCCTTCTTTAACCCAGTGGATATGCTACCATAGGTCAGCACAATATACTTCACTCGATGATACACTGCTTCTCACAAGGGCAATATTTTGAGAATCATCTTGTCTCCTCAAAAGTTAATTTTCAAGAGGTTAGTCATCACTTTTAACTTCTTGATGATATGAATTTATCTTCTATAAATTATCTAAACCATGAATCCATTCACACACTTAGTGTCTAAGTCCTAATATCAGCTCTCCAAAAGTTTCAAAGAACAGTTTTACTTAATATTTTAATATGCTGGGGTTTTACTCTTTTCATTCAAAAACAAAGAACAGTTGATCAACTCCTAGATGCCAGCATCTCTTGTAGGTACCGAGTGTACGGTGGTGAATGAAGTGTAAGCATTGAAGTTTATGTTCATCCTTATATAAAACTCATAATTTTATTACCTTTACATTCTCTTGGTCTTATCTTTTTAGTCTGAGGATTCTTAACTTCTGTTAGTGCTAAAAGCATAAGCCACTAAGTCACCTCTTTGATTATTTTAGTTTTGCTTTCAGGAAATACTTACCAATCCTTATTTTACCCAGATACATACTATCTGCATGAAATAATGAAACAAGAGCAGAAACAACCATATTTTTGGAAACCCAATTCTAAATACACTATTAATGATTTCTGATCTGTTACTTAACTTTTTGGCCTCGGCTCCAGAAAGCCAAAACCTAGGTCACAGCTACTTAAAAAAAAATTTTAAGCCTTGTAAAATGTTCTGATGAGTTGAAAACTTCTATCATATATTTTTCTACATCTCCCACCTCCTCAATTTACAGTTAACTATTGCCTTCCATTCCAACTACCTTTTTCCCCAAAGTTAGTCTAAAAGAATTCAGGTCCTGGCATATAAATATACATTAGTGTATTCCACAGACACAAAATCCTATGAAAATGTGAGGCTAATACTTTCATCCCTTAAGAGACTTGACCAAAATAACTGTTTAGCTGTCAGACATAATTTCCTAGAGGAAAGTATGGACAAAAGAACAAGCAAAATTCCATTGTATAACTACTTAGTAGTTAGGATTTAGTCACTGGCAGTTGAGTGATTTGAATATGACTAATTTCTACCTTTTCATAAATTATCCTAATGATTACATAAAAATTTTGAGTTTTTTTTCAAGATTTTATTTATTCGAGAGAGAGATAGCGCGGGTGGGTGGAGAGGAGGAGGGAGAGGGAGAGCAAAGAATCTCAAGCAGGCGCCGTGCTGACTGGGGAGCCGGAAGAAGGGCTCAATCTTATGACCCTGAGATCATGACCTGAGCTGAAATCAAGAGTTGGACTGGCCACCCAGGCGCCCCCAAAATTTTGAGATGTTTGTTCATCAGAAGGAAATTATATGGAAGTACACCTACTATGTACTGAGAATTTGCCATGAATTATCCATTATGGGGTGCTTTACATACCTTATATAACTTAATCCTTCCCATACTACTGCAAGCTAGGTGTGATTACATCCTTTTAGAGATGGAGGAAATTGAGGTTTAGAGAAACGACTTTGCTTAGAGTCACACTTCTGGTTAAGCATTTGAACTCAGTCCCTGTGCTTAACTATTACATCATATTGCTTTCTACAGGATTTTTTTTTTTTCAGGTTAAATATGTTTGATTAAATGAAACTCAAGGACACTGGAGCATACTGAACTTCTGGGGGAAGTATCTTTAGGATCAAGTTTAATGGGTTAGCATCAAGTTTAATGGGTTAGTTTCTCATCTAACAACTAAGTAGGTGTTAGTAGAAGTATTAAAAATTGACTGCAGTGAAAAAAGACAGTATCTGGATATGGTTTCACATTCACTGAAATGTTTAACCAAACTGTGAGGTGAAAAGTAGCACCAGCCTAATATTTCACAGACTCAAGAGATTCGTAACTTACCCTTGCTCACAGAATCAGCAAATGTATGTATGTGTGTGCGGTGGAGGGGGGGCCCACAGGCGGTTGGGCAAGAAGAGTGGTGGTTGTGGGGAGTCAGGCTAGAATTCAAACTCAGTTTTTGGACTCCGCAACTTACAACTGTAACATGGGCACCAAAACATTTGGACTATTTCATCCAGTGTAAACCTAGGAGGAGACAGTTGCCTGTAACATATTTGCCAGAACTGGCACTGGCATGATGTTGCCAACTATTTCCCGGCCTAAGTGGGCCAAAAGTCTCTCACTGGCCTCACTGTGTCCTTTCTCATCTCCCGAATTCCCATCTTCCCTGTGCCTAAGCATTCATAAGCCCTCTGGTTAATAAAGCCCTACACAGAGCTGCCCGCTCACCACCGGAATCATACCCAGTAAAATAAATTTATCTTTCTCTGGTGCAACTATCCAATTTGCATTCCTCTTGCCTACGTATGTGGGTTTTTTTTTTTTTTTCAAAGAACAATCTGATAAAAGCAGTTCAATAAAATTTGTCTAAAATGAAAAAAAAAACTTTTTGTGGAAATTTTACAAGGAAAGATGCTTAATCCAATAGCAATCACTATTAGCATTTTGATATCTTAGTTGAAAATTTTAATATTAGTTTTCTCTCTCCTACTGTACCTTTTAAAAAACAGAAAATTTCATAATAAAGAACTCAACGGAATATCAACCAAGTTGAACAACTCAACTGAACATCATGGTAGGATTTCAGGCAATGTGACATAATGAAGTAAAGATCTAGAGGCAGCATGGGAATTACCCTACTCTGTTCCCCTCAATAAATCTTGTGTTTTTATGGAGGGGGGTGGGGAGAGTGCTATTATAGAACCCCTTAAAACAATCATGAATTGCTTTTTTATTCTGTTCAGTGCTTGGTCACCCTCTCCCAGAATCAGAATCCCAGAATAATCTTGGCAAATCACTTGAATGATGGCCAATTTCTGTAGTTAAACACACACACAAACACCATTTGAAATCCAAAGAGCTTTTGTTTCACTAACCATTTTGTGTTCCAATCCACTGTCCTACCTAAAACATTTGGCAAATGAGCAATGAAGAATATAATTTCATCTTCTTCATCAGTTTAATGAAGGAGAATGATCCCTATTCTGCCCATATTCCAACTCAATTCCCTTGTTCTGCATTTTGGAAGAATGTAAATCAGGCACTTGTCCCTATAAGAAGTCTTCAATAGAAGAAAATCTCTATGCAAAGGATAAATAGTTCAGATTTTTAATCTATGTAATAATTAGACTTAGATAGAAAGGAGAAGTAATAATCCTTCACAGTTAGAAAAGCTGTGTAGAGATTAAGTACTTTCTCTAATTAGTAGAATTAGAAACAAATTCTAGCAATTTAGGTATACAATTCTAATTTTTTTGGACAACCTAATTTTAAGTTTGGGATTCAATCAAGAGGAACAGAACACTATCACAAAGACAAGAGACTCTGAATATCCTACACAATCTCTCAAAAAAAAAATCAATGCATAATTCTGAAGGATAAATTATCTACTGTTGTATCTATTCTTGCTATGAAAGAACTACATCATTCTAAGACAGAACTCAAATAAAATTTATATCCAGTTTTCTTAGTAGGGTACAGTGAACACAAAAGTTTCTGAGCCAGCAGACCTGGGATCAAGCCCTCTTTCTGTCACTTTCTTTATAACCACACATTGAGTTTCTTTCGAGCCTCTTTTAATTTATAAAAGAGATATACTTCTCCCTGCCTTATAGGGCTCTTATAAAAATTCAGTGCAATTATTTATATGAAGGTACTTGGTGAAATGAAAGAAGATGCCTTTATACAATTGCTAGTTTCTATTATAACAGTTAAAAAAAAAAAAAAAAGGACTTTATGTGTCTTCTGATCAGAACAGGCCAATAGACCAAAATGGGTACCCTTCCTGGGCCAGTGCAGGTGGCTCCAAGGTGCAGACCCATCCAACCACAGGAAGAAGAGCCTGATTGGGGTGGTAGTGTATACAGAAGACCTTAGAAGTTCTGTCAAGTTCAAGTCAGCCATGACTTCAAACCTTAAGACTCCACTTTAAAATAGGGCACTTAAAATGAAATTCTATTTTTTTTTTTTTAGATTTTTTTTTTTTTTTAATTCATGAGAGACAGAGCGAGAGAGAAAGGCAGAGGGAGAAACAGGCTCCCAAGGAGCAGGGAGCCCGATGCGGGACTCGATCCCAGGACCCTGAGATCATGACCTGAGCCGAAGGCAGACGCTTAACCATCTGAGCCACCCAGGCGCCCAAAATGAAATTCTATTTTTAACAGACTGTTTAGTTCTTAAAATCTTGAAAATCAAAGTAAGTGAAGCAGAATAAGAAACGAAGATCATAGCGGATAAAGCAAAGTGAGACAAAAAGACTATCATGACCATTAAAAGATAGGACCCACAGGGTTGGGCAGATATGTAAATACGAATATGATTAAGGTTGACAAAAGGGTAAAAAAAGTAGGAGTGTTATAATGAAAGAGAAAAGGAAACAGATAGCAATGCTAACCTGAGACATAAGCTAGGCCTGGAGAACTCTGTGGTAGGCAGAAAGAGATGCTAAAATAATAAAACAGGCCACAAAGCACATTATACAATATTAAGGAAAGAAATCGTTTAACTGAACACAAGGTGGCTTTTTACTCCTGCGGAAACATTAGGTGGTAGAAAAGTGAAGTTTCAAAGAATCTTTGGAAGGTCATTTCCAGAGGTGGCACAAAGGCGAAATATTCAAAATATTTAAGTGTAAGCATATTTAAAAAACCCAGAAAACAAAAAACCCCCCAAAACCTGTAATAGATGACACTTAAAATACCGCTTCCCAAACAACCGGCCAGTAACTTGTAGAGGACCCCAAGTTTGTCATGTGCACAAACATCCCCAAGGGTGAACCACGGGCACCGCGCATCAAACTTTCTCTTGTGGCCACCTGCAGGAACAAAGCGCCCTTCTTACTGTGAGTGGGAGCGGCGAGCCCCTGGCGCAAGACAGACACTCAGCAAAGACTTCCCCCTCCCCAGATCGGGCGTCTCCCCAGATCCCACTGACCCTCGTCCCAATCCAGGTCTGCCACTGCAAATCCAGCTCCCGCCCCCTCAAGGCAGCCCTCCGCGCGCCGCATCCCTAGCTCAGTCCCGCAGGCCGCCGCCCCCAACGCGGAGCTTCATTCATTGACCCGGACAGAGGGGCGGGCGAGATGAGCTGGAGCAACAGTGTGCGAGGATCCAGGTGGGGATCCCGGGGCGAGTGCTTACTCTGGGTGTCTGTTAAGGAGATCATGGCTGCAGTAGTGAGGGCAGCGGCGACAGCACCTCGGGGCGCCCAGGGTGTGAAGCAAAGTCGGGAGAAAAGCAGCCGGGAAACAGCCCAGGGGAGAGCCGCCACGTCTTCCGGAAACACGCAGCGGCCCCTACCCCAGGTTCAAGACCGCTTCCCATTGGCTAATCCAGCCCCCAATATCAACCAGTCACCCGTAGTCTTGTTCGGTGACGCACATCGTGGCCACACCCCTTCACCAATTAGAGAAGGGTGTTACTTGCAATTGGTTGAGGAGACTTAACCGGAAGGGCGGATGCTCGCGGCTGGAGAAAAAGGAAAGACTGGTGGCGGGAAGTTTTCATTGGCGAGCGGCTGGAAAGTGTAAGTAGTTGTCTCGATGGCCGGCGCTCCGAGGTCAGAGAGAGAGGCGGCTGGGCTGGGCTGGGGTGAAGGGGTTCTTTAACCCCCTGGGGAGAGGTTCTGGGGTAAATCTGCTTTGAAAGGCTAATGTTTTCTTCTCCTTCCTGAGGGTGAGGCCGGCCTATCGCGGATCACTTCCGTTCACCAGTATATCGGCAGGAGAGAACCGGGCGTTAATCGTCGCCCATCTCTGATGGAGCTTGGTCCTTTAGGGCCCGTCGGACTGCCTACCCCTCTCTTTTATCTCCAGCCTTTTCTATGCAGGAAGCTTGGTTACCAGAGTCTGTAGATAGGCAGTCACCATCGGGGGACGCATAAGCATAGTGGAGGGTAGTATTACATTGCTGTTGTTTTCTAAACGCAGGTGGTGGGGAGAGGGGGACGTGTGTCTGATTTAGCCTGTGGTACCTCAGTGGCATGTACTCCAGTGGGAATGACTGGCTGTGACTTCGTGGAATATTTACTGTGGGTGCTGTCAAAGGTTCAGAAATAGCAGAGGTAAAACCAGTGAATCACTGAAGTAGTAGTTTAAAAGTAAAAGTTTATTGTGCACACACCAAAGAGACAACTGTGGCACCAGGAGCATTCAAGCCAAAACGGGAATGAGGCTTTTGGTATTTTTACAAAGCGACTTAGGTAGTAAGAAGTCTGTGATTATTTTTTCTTCACGGTGATTAGAATATTAATATTTTCTTAAGTGACAGGTAATTGGTTAGTGGTTACTTCATATCAACCTTGGGAAACAGTTTAAGTTTTGCTTATGATTTCTGGAGGCATAAAAAGGAAATTATCTGAGTCAAGTTAGTCTCACAAAATAAGCTCATTTGAGCTTTGTTTGACTAAACTGATTTTGTCTGCTCAGGGAGTTTTCAAGACCGATTTGCTTTTTATTTTAACAATTACCCCCTTTTGGTTATTCTGATCAGTGTAGTATTATTTTCAGTTTCCTCTGTTGAGGTACTCAGGCTGAAGAATCACATTTTTGCTGTTGCTATTAGTTGAGTCATCAGGCTCAGGCCCTGTAGTCACCTTCTTCATCATTTATGTTGTCGATTTCATCCAGTTTTCTGATCCTGATGGGTACCATTTGGCCTGAGTGGCTGCTGACAGGTCTTTAAAACCTTGAGAGTGTGCAGCGCATTAGAGAGGTAAATATGATTTAAGGAGAACAATAGCCAAGGACTGAAAAATTCCCAGAGGAGATTCCCAGATGCCAACATTTAACCAACTAAATAAATCAACTGGGTTTCAATTTTTTAAAAGGTATTTACATAGGCATAACATGATGTATTAACAATCACATCTTCATGATGACTTAGGCCTGGATGAAGGCGAGGATGTTTTATTTTAGGAGGCAGGTAGCAGGTGAATTTCCACCTAAATTCGGCCTCTGTATGGTGTGAGAGGTATAGACAGTCAGATAATTTAATGAGAAATATTTCTGTGGAAACAAAAGAAAAACAAAGATTAATATTCGAGAAAATTATAAACTCAGTGTCTTGAGTTTAGCGAGAAGCCATTTGAGAAAATTTCTAGATGTGTTCAAATTATCTTCAGAAGGAGTGAGGGCAAGAGTGACAATCTGACAGATTCTCCTGGTTTGCAGTTTGAATATCTCTGGTGATCTCTCTGAGCATAGGCACATTGTCCTCACATGAGCTCTTTTGGTGGTTTCTCTGAAGCTTATATCCAGTTGTCCAGCTTTAGCTTGCATGGCTTTGAGAAAAGGGCCATTTTATTTTGATATTGATTCCAAGTCAGAAGAGTGGAAGGAAATTGGAAATGTTTGGAGAGTTCTGGAGAGTTTGGAGAGTTCTAGCCAAATGTTGGAGGAAACTAGAAGAATTCAGGATCTGGTCCAGTTTATAAGTAGAAAATAAAACCTTAAGGACAGTTAACAGCAGTAGAATCTGATATCCAGAAAGGTGTATTACTGAAACATAGTTTTTCTCTATAAACATCCCATTTCTATCAAGATAACTACTGTTAGACTAATTTGTTTGCAAATTGAATCTAGTTTCAATAAATTTGGCCTGATTATTTACATAAGTGCAGCAAAAATAGTGATCATATAAACCTTCGTGGAACTTTTCATAAAGAATCTTGAAAAGATTCATTCTTCTGCATGTGGCTGTCCAGTTTTTGCAATACCATTTGTTGAAGAGACTGTCTTTTTTCCATTGGACATACTTTCCTGCTTTGTTGAAGATTAGTTGACCATAGAGTTGAGGGTCCATTTCTGGGTTCTCTATTCTGTTCCATTGATCTATGTGTCTGTTTTTGTGCCAGTACCATGAGAGACCAAGAGAGACTGTGGACTCTGAGAAACAAACTGATAGATATTTATTTATTTATTTATTTATTTATTTATTTATTTATTTATTTATTTATTTTAAACTGAGGATTTTAGAGGGGAAGGGGGTGGGAGGATGGGTTAGTCCGGTGATGGTATTAAGGAGGGCACATATTGAATGGAGCACTGGGTGTTATACACAAACAAGGAATCATGGAACGCTACATCAAAAACTAATGATGTAATGTATGGTGATTAACATAACATAATAAAATTAAATTAAAAAAGAATCTTAAGAGGAAAAAAAAGAATCTTAGATTGACCTTTTCAAGGCTCTTTGGGCTAAGCAGCCAAGCTAAGAATTGTCTAATTGTGTCCTATTACAAGGAGATCAGATTGAGGTTATATAAATACATATATTGTCATGAAAAATAAGAATAATAAGAGTTTCTAAATTCTGGCGGGATCAAGTAGGGAGAAAAAGATAAATGTTTCACCTGTTGATTACAAAAGTAGGTTTTACTGAATTGTAAGCTATAGATAGCTTAAAAGAGAGGAGAAATGGAGCCTTGTAAATCTGGAAAACAAAACATTGAAGAACCATCAATGTTTTAAGTGAAGTCATAAAAAATTATAATCATCTTCATTAGTTCATTGAGTCTCCTGTAATTCTTGTTCTGCTTCATCTTGGATTAATAACTTTATGAATCAGTTTTCCACTAGACTTTTAAACATTCTTACCCAGTTCAGTGTTAGGATTTTAAAATTAACAGAAACCTGTACTTGTCAGAGTCTTTTTCCATGAATCTCTTTGGAGATGAAGCACTTTTGTAGGAATAGTTTTACAAAAACTTAACTTAAATCCATTTGAGTCTTAGCTAGACCACACATAAAATTCCTTTCTCGATTCCTTTTCCATAAGCCTTCTACAACTTTTTTTTTTTTTTTTTTACAGATTTTATTTATTTATTTATTTGAGAGAGAGAGCACGGGAGAGCATGAACAGGAGGGAGGGGTAGAGGGAGGAGAAGCAGACTGCCCAATGAGCAGGGAGCCCGATGTGGGCCTGGATCCCAGGACCCTGGGATCACGACCTGAGCTGAACGCAGATGCTTAACTGACTGAGGCACCCAGGCGTCCTCTACAATTTTTTATATCCATCCAGTTTTTATTTCATCTTTTTCCTCTCTCATTCTGGAATTATCATTTTACTTACAGACAAAATTACTTTCCTTATTCCTTTACCAAAACAACAACAAAACCCATATTCTTCATATCTTTCCTTGTCCAAAAAACATGTTCTATTTTCTTCAACTACTTTTCATATACATTGTTTTCTTTCATCCTTATTATTTCTAGTAGCTTTAATTACATATATTAGAATTCTTAACTCTTATAATCTTTAGTTCCTAGTAAAAACCAAGAAGTAAGCAATTGTGGACTGGCAAATTTATAAATACACAGTTACAAAAACTTTTTAGAGACATACATTTTTTTATCGTTTTTTAATGTGGCAAAGGACATAGTTATTAATAGACCCAAGTATCTTTTATCTCTGTAAAAATTAAAAAGCCAAAAGTTGGGGTTGTTCTGATGAATCCTAGGCTACTAAAGTCTGAGTGACTCTTTAAAGGCTGTATAAGCAAGCCAGGGTAGGGTAAAAATGTTGGGAGGTGCTAATAGAATATAGTGATTTCTGATAAATGAAAGGATAATTGGCATAGCTTGAATTTATTCAGAGAGTTTTGCTAGAAGATGAAGAACTAGATTTAGGTTACCTTGTAGCAGATGATGCAAATGGAAGTAGAAATTATATGCAAACAATGAATCATGGAACACTACATCAAAAACTGAAAATGTAATGTATGGTGATTAACATAACATAATAAAAAATAGAAAAAAGAAATTAAACATAAATAAGAACCTTGCATAGTAGTACAAGGGAGATGCTTAATAAAAACCATTCATTCTAATGATAGATTTGAGTTCTCAGGTAGATTTGAGTCAGTGTAGTAGTACTGATAGATAACCATGACAGGAATCCATTCAAAGAGCAAACTTAAATGGGTTTAAATGGCATTTCCAAAACACCAATTTACCGAGGTCAATTTTAGTTGGCACCCAGACATGATAAAAAGTATATTGAATCATATAGCAATAATTGTTTCCTTTTTAACTTTTTTTTAATCCTTATTAGCTTCAGGGAAAAATTATTAGTTGAGGTTGTATGTCTTTAGTAATTCTTTTATACCTGCTAATGATTCATTTTAACAAAAAGAGCAATCCCCAAGCTCCAGACCCCAGCAGGCAAAAATATCATTGGTTTATGTTTATTACAGTTATAGATGTGGTTATGTTTTACTTCCAGCAGGTGACAGGTTTTTTGTTTTTTTTGTTTTTTTTCCATTTTTGGTAGTAATGTATAGTTTTATTTCAGTATAAG